GTGTTGGGTTTTAACGACGAGCGCTCGGATCACTCGGTGGGCGTGTCGACGGTTGACCTCCTGCAGGACAAGGAGGGTTTCACCTGGAAGGGCCACGACAGGCTGGAGCCTCGTCTCAAACCCGCCCCCTTCCCCCAGGGCTTCCAGCCCCAGGTGCTGGTTCAGTGCCTGCCCCCGGCCTCGGTCACCGCTGTGGCGCTGCACACCGAGTGGAACCTGATCGCCTTCGGGACGAGTCACGGGTTTGGTCTTTTTGACTACCACAGGCGAAACGCTGTGCTGGCCAGGTCTGAGCTCCAGAAAGGCTTTACTTCTGTTTTACTTCTGAACACGGTCACAGCTTTATCTCTCTCCTTGGTCTTCTAGATGCACCCTACACCCGAACGACTCGCTGGCGATGGAGGGGCCCCTCTCCAGAGTCAAGTCTTTGAAAAAATCCTTACGACAAAGTTTCAGACGCATCCGTAAAAGTCGGGTCTCTGGGAAGAAGCGTGCCGTCAGCACACCCACCAGCAAGGTGAGAGGCGGGTGGGATAACCGGACTGGATTTTATGAACGTTTCCTTTAATCGTTTATGAAACGCGCAGGTCCAGGAGGCCAATGCGGCCCTGGCGGAGCAGGAGGAGGTGGCTCCGGTGCAGCGGAGGATCGAGCCCCGATCAGCTGACGACTCGCTGTCGGGAGTGGTCCGGTGTCTCTGCTTCGCGGACACGTTTCTGCGCGACGGTAAGTTCAAAACTGGTGTTTTTAGTTTGTTGGTTATGAGTCGGCTCTAACGGGACGCTGTGTGTTGATCAGGAACACACCACGGCGCCACGCTCTGGGCCGGTACCAACTCGGGCAGCGTTTATGCCTACGCTCTGGAGGTGCCCAGCGTCGGTTCAGGCCGTGTGTGTGAGCGGGCCGGGGCGAGCGAGAGCAGCTCGTGTGTAGAGGCGGTGCTGGGTAAAGAGATCCAGCTGATGCACAGGGCTCCCGTAGTCTCCATAAGTGTTCTGGATGGGCGAGGGAAACCGCTCCCAGATCCGTACGAGGCCTCCCAGGACCTCGCCATCGCGCCGGACATGACCAACGCTCACTCGGTCCTCATCGCCTCTGAGGAGCAGCTTAAGGTATAGAAACGGGAAACATCTGGGTCAAAGGCCGGTGACGTTGGAGATTTTCACGCTGGCCACCCTCCGCTGGGCCCGGTCCAGGTGTTCTCTCTCCCCAAGGTGAGCGCCAAGACCAAGTTCAAGCTGACCGCTCACGAAGGCTGCCGGGTGAGGAAGGTCGCCTTGATGCTCTTCAGCTCCGCTGTTCAGGAGGACTACAGTGAACACGCTCTGGTGTGCCTCACCAACCTGGGAGACATGCACCTGTTCAACGTGCCCGGCCTCCGACCACAGGTGGGATCAGACCCAACCACCTGGAGCCACCCGCATTACGATTCAGCTAACACCACGATTGTGTTTCAGGTGCGCTACGACTGCATCCGTAAAGAGGACATCAGCGGTATCGCGTCCTGCGTCTTCACCAAGAACGGACAGGGTGAGGAGGATGTGTTTCTCCGACGGAGGACACAGATGGGTCACATTCCACTCCTAAAGTCACCTAAACTTGTCGTTTTCTCTGCAGGGTTCTACCTGATCTCTCCTTCTGAGTACGAGAGGTTCTCCCTGTCCACCAAAGTTCTCACAGAGCTGCTCTGCTCTGTCCAGCTGGACCGACCTCTAGAACCAACACCTGTCAGGTAACTCAAACACTCACAACGATCCAGGTGTTCGAGGCAGGTGAGAGTTGCTGTTTAAAGGAGCAATATGTAAGAATGTTAAAGTGAAATAATCACAAACCTAACGTCCGTTTTTCTCCTTTCAAAAAAACCCGAAGATGGACGTAGTTGCTGTTTACGATCAGTGGGTTTGTGAGGTTGTTGAGTTTTCACCAAGCTAACGCTGCAGCACCGGCGTTGGCTCGACACCGGCAGGCACGAAGCTCCAGTTGTTTAAAGAACCAAATCCAGTAAACGGGAGCGACCCAGAAATGACTGCTTGAACCCGTAAGAACAGGGTATCAGCGGGGTCTTAAAAAGTCTTAAAAGTCTTGAATTTGATGAAAGGAAAAATTAAGACCCTTAAAAGTCTTAAATCGATTTAGTAAAGTCTTAAATTTGGTTCGTATTGACGTGAATTTAAAATACGTTCGTCTCATACTTGCAAACTTGACGCTTTTCAGCGAAAATTGCCGTTTATGAAACCAAAGACTTTCATGTGAATCAAAGAGTTTTTGTTTTTGGGAAGGCGAGTCTAGTCGGGTTTCGGTCGCTCTTTATAAGAATCAGTTTCAGACAAACCAGGAGTGTTCATCCTCTTCACAAACCATCTTTGTTAGTGGGTCACGAGTCGTTATTTGACCAATCACAGTCACGGAGACAGCTTGGCAAAAACGCGCTGCGGTAGCTGGTATCGCGGTGCCGCTACTACTGTTGCCTCAACATCTCGCAGCGGTTGGAGTTTGTAAAATCATCAAAATCCTGTCCAAATACCAGTTTTCTGTCAAGAACGTTAGCAGGTTTGTCTCCTTTCAGTTTCAGACTTAACTGATGTTTCCCGAGGCTTGTTTTCTGCTCGTTTTCTGGGCGGAGAGTTGAGTTCAAGGGTTGGTCAAAAACCAGTTTACCAGGAATTAGACAGGTCCATCCTAAACTCAGAAGATTCTGACACAGACGAGGTGCGGCTGTGGTTTCAGACCAAGCCCCCACAATGTGGCTCAAAAATTGAGGCCAACCCGGAAGTACCAAAAACTGCAGTTCCACCCTCATCCACTAGGGGCTGGTGTCAGAAGCGAGCAAACCCTCATTGACTCCCATGTTAAAAATACCAATTTCACAGCAGAAATAAACATGTTTACAGCCTGGTACCAAAACATGTTTTTGGTTTAAATGATCTAGTTTACACTCATGACACCTCTGAGGGGGGTGAATTTTTTTCTCACTCTTCTGTTTAAGCGTATTAAAAGCCTAAAATTCTGTATAATTAATGAGCATCCGACCCACGTGACCGCATAGCTAGCTCCGTGGAAAGGCCTCAGAAGAGCCTCGGTCTGGCTTGGAAACTGCTCCGGGATTTTGAATCTCCGTGATTGTGTATTCTTTTTTGGATATTATTTGTGCAATTGTTGGACAAAATGACTTGCTGTGGCATTAATTGCACTAATAGAGCGTCCAAGGAGTCTCCACTTCATTTTTTTCGGTAAGTAAAATTATATTTATGTACTTTAGGTCACTGCCGAGCTGAGCTTAGATTTTAACATGTACTGTTTAACCATGAAATTTAAATGTAATAGGGTAAAACCCAGTGCATTTAACATAATGCTGCACTTTAGAAAATGGGTTGAAATATAACATGTTGGTGGAGCTGGGTTCCCACTATCGGCTTGTGGAGCTCTCGGGAGACCTCTGTGTTCCACCCGGTTTTACCCAGCGGTCAGCCCGGCGTATCTCTGACTCAGAAGCTCTGGTGTTGTGCACAGTTAACTCCGGTTGTAGCTAGGTTGCTACCTCCGTTAGCTTAGCTCCCACCTCTGCATTAGCTTTGGGTTAGCTTCAGGTTAGCTTGTAGCTAGTTCGACCGGGTGTCGTCAGTTGATCCCAGCCTTACAGCCCCACCCTCAGCTCCACCTCTCTTCCCTTTTGTGGAATTGTCTGGGCTTGACGGAACCTGTGACACGGTCAAAATGGCGGTGGTGGCCACCTCCCATTTAGCCTCAAAAACGTGTTATTGGAGCCTATGGAAACCCATTGTCCAATATTTATATGTCAATATTTCAGATACAAGCTAAACCCTTTAGGCACGTCTTCCCTACATATGTTATATAAGAGATTTAAGAAGAAGAAAAAGTTACAAAACTGCGTGGATCTGTTTTCAATGAGATGTCATTAGTGGAAAATAAACATAAATAGATCAAAAGATGTTACTGGTAGTTTTACTGTCTTTCTGTTGTGGAAAGTCAGAACAAATATTCAGTGAAAACTTTAAAAAGCTGCTTAAACCTTCATTTTTTTATAGTGGGCCTGTCTATATTTAAAAAAATCAGTTGATTGTTTAAAGTAACTGTGGCTAAAGTTACTCCGAGCCTCTGTTGAAGGTCCATTCTGAGTTGAGCTGTGGGAACTGGAGAGGAACTGCGAAAGTTGTTCAAGTTGAATTCAAACAGAACAAATTAGACGTCAATTACCGTATTTTCCGGAGTATAAGTTGCACCAGCCATAAAATGTATAATGAAGAAGAAAAAACATATATAAGTCGCATTTTGGGGGGAAATTTTATTATTTTTCTTACAAAATCTGAGACCAAGCGTTTCACATTACAAGACAAGTACCGGTAACAATAACAGAATAAACAACCAGGGCGCAGCAGCGCGCCACGGTCTCCAGCAGAGGATGGCGGTGTTTGAAACCCTCCCAGCGGGACAGGGGAGCTCATCCCTGGGCCGGAGCTGGCCCGCAGCAGCGCGGTATACATAATTTGGTCGCAGGACCAGCCAGACCGTGAAAAAAAGTGCGACTCATAGTCCGGAAAATACGGTATATAATAATTCCATGTATATTTAACAGTCATGTTGGAGATAAAAGGCAGAATAGATATTTTACTTTATCTGGTTGTGTTGAAGCTTCACGTCCCACATTTGGTGAGTTGGGATCTGGTCATCCTACTGAAGAATGATGACAATAATCTGGAATATTTTCAGATGTTTTTATGTTTGGTGTTCTGTGAATTAGTCTCATAATATTTATTAGATGATGATCCCTAATCTTTATCTGATCAGTTCTGAAGGTTTATTGTATTTAGCTCTCTTGAACTGTATGAATGGTGCAAAAAAAATCACATAAAATATATTTTTTAATTGTTCTCAATAAAATAAATTAATGTAAAGGTCAGAGGTCACTACAAAACCCGCTGCAGAATAGATGCAAACCTGCAGCACGCGAGTACCTTGTTTGGGGAGGGGGGGGGGGGGGGGGGGGTTAATTTAGTTGTCACTTTTTTCACAGCCTCTTGAGTTCGCATGTATGAAAAATAGATGCATGTAAGCTAAAAATATATATTTTTTGTTCTTCTATGCGCGCGGTTTGCATTTTTGTACCATGTGGCTTTACATATTATTGCTACAGCCTGGCTGTCCCGGATGTGACGTAACCCGTCGTGAAGTGGAAAACGAAGCGATGCATTATTTAAAAACAGTATGAATGTTGATTAGTTTTTTGCGATAAAGTCTTAATTTTATTTTTAGAAGGTCTTAAAAAGTCTTGAAAAAGTCTTAAATTTAATTTTGAGATCCCTGCATATACTCTGAAGGAGCCACCACATACTTTTTGTTTTTCTCTGATATTGGGTGAAGCAGGCTAGAGGCTAATGTTGAGCTAACAACGCTAACAGTGAATTAGAAGCAAATAGTCTGCGCAAAAAAATATCTCAAGCTACTTTTTAAATCGCCAACAACTGGATATTACAGTGAAATGAATAGAGTCAATCGTGGTGTTTTACTTCCTTTAATGAGTCGTTCAGGACTATAACAACAAGACGACAAACAACCACACTTCATCTAACGCAGGAGGCAAATTACCGTAATAAGTGCAATTAGTGCTCCCTACCGTAAAACAACCAAGAGCGCTAACACCAGATATGCCGAGAATACTTGTCATCTAGAATCTTGTACTGATCCATAACTGGCAACAGAAACATGAAACACTCAGGACGGGAGTGAGATGGTAACGTTTGGTTTTTAAAATTGGACGGCAGTACCCATATCTGACCACAGGGCGTCATTCTTGCATATTGCACCTTTAAATCCCAGTTGGATCTGTGATTTAAAAGAATTTATGTTCTTGTGGGAAATATTTAGATCTGATTTTGACGGAGTAACCAGACATGAATGACCTTTACTTAAAGAGCAAGTCACCCCCCAAATCTATTTTTTTTCTGATAAACTATATAAATGCGTGTCTAATCGTGCTGCAGACACGTGTAGTCAATAGTTTTGCACTTTAGTGCATTTTAGTTAAAATTTGAATCTTCTGCCTGAAACTGTCAGTGTTTGGCCATTGTCAGGTAAAAACTGCTCTGCATTTGAATTTAAATTTGCCATCGCTATTGGCTAAGAGGTACCCTAGAACGTTAGCTGGCACCATACGATGTCACAATGTCGTTGTGAACCTGTGTGTGTGTGTGTATTTGTTAGCGGCTCCGCCCTCTCGGTCTGCTAGGCAACAGCATTTGTTGCATTTTTCAAACAGGAAGTGGGAGTGGAGTAAGAATCTGGTGGGGGTGACTTGCTCTTTAATGATTCAGCTAAATAAATAAATACCATCATGTACCTGAATCCTCCCAGTCGACCAGTAAAGGTTCTCATCACGCTGCTCTCCTCGATGGGGTGTTACTACTCTGGCTGCTGCTAACTGCATGTTGTGTCCTTGTGTGTCCTACACAGCGACTGTATGATGCAGCCTCAGGCCAACGGAACCCACAAGAACCCGATGGGTCAGGCTGAGGGTACGTCTGAGCCCATCTCCACCTCCCTTAATAAGCTTTCCTCTTTTCTTATGCCTTCTTTTTTCTTCCACCACTCTTTAAACCCCAAACCAGGCCTGGCAGGGGTCCCCCTCTAGTCTCTATGGCAACCATTCAGCATGCCTCAGTTGCCTCTCCAGCCCAGTAGCTCCTGCTCTGGCAGCGAGCCGCGGTTGTTGTGGAAACAGTAGAACTTCCAGCCAGAAGCTACTTCTGCGTAGAACTCGCATGAGGAGATGAAGTTTCATGAGCCGAAATAAAAGCAATGCTATCTTTTAAACGTTACACTGACCCAAGCTGCAGAACCGAGAATAGTTGGTGATGAGGCGTTTAGGGAACCTGGGACAGATCGGGATCTAAATGATTCCTGTTCCACCGTACAGAAATCATGTTCAGAAATCAGCAGCAGCAAGTTTTCCCAGAACCGCTTCAACTCTGTGTTCCCTCCCCTCAGGACACACACCAGAGCCCCCCAGCTCCCTGTCCTCCCCCATCCTGGACACCCCGCTGGACTCCCCCCTCAGCTGTGCAGACCTCACCCTGGACTCCACCGGAGAGCTCACCGTGGAGGACGTCAGAGACTTCCTAACGTAAACACACACACACACACACACACACACACACACACACACACACACACACACACGCACACACACACACACACACTAGTATTTAAAACAACCTGAGCTCCGTAGAAAACGGTGTCTGTTTATCTTTCAGGACTGTGGACGAGGTGGAAAATAATCTGAAGAACATGAAAGAAGAGGAAGGACGCTCCGCCGGCATCCTCATCAACTGAACAGGTGAGCAGCACAGGTAACCTGATCCTCTCGGGTAGAAGAACCTAGCAGTGTGAGCAGATGGGTGACACACACACACACACACACACACACACACACACACACACACACACACACACACACACACACACACACACCTGTTTCTAGTGAAGCTAGTGTGCTAACTTCAAAGGCCTCTTCTGTCTCAGCTCTGCATTCCAGTAACAAAGCCTCTTCCCTGTTTCTCAGCAGCCAGACGAGACAAAGCTCTTTCCATCCCAGCCAGCGGAGCACGTTTACCGTTTTACTCAAGTTCTGACCCAGGCGTGTCCAAAGTACGGCCCGGGGGCCATCAGCGGCCCTCAGTCATGCTGGAATAGTCTCTCCAGTGGGCTGCTGATGCAGGAACTTTAGCCGCTTTTGGAGACACAAATCAACTGAAACGGCTAATTAGAGCGATGCAGATCTCTAGGAGCTTCTCTCCGTTGGAGCTGGAGCTCGGATCACTCGACGCTTCAGATCCTTGTAGCTGATTAGGTCGAATTTCTTTTTAAGCCCAAAAAATAAAAATCCCCAAAGAACGCCTTCCGCCAGTTTATCACAAGATCCATTTCATGACTTCCCTCTTCAGAGGTTTCCAAATCTTTTCTATAAACAAAAACTTAACAGTTTAAATGTAAAAAGTTATTGTAAAAACTTTATAACTACTGTAATGTAAGTGTAGCCTGGCAAGCCAGACTAAATAAATATATTATTTACTCTGGCAACGCTTCATTGATGGCTCTCAGTCGTGGGGCGGGTTCTATCGCTGTCTTTCAAACGATCTCCACATCCTATTGGACAATAAACAACGTGACGTACTCACGACAACGTAAACGAGCCCAAGTCCAAATAGTCCAGAATTGATGTGAAAGCAGTTTCATCCATCTGCTCACACCGCCATCTTGTTCCACTCTGTTGCATCATCCCACCCACCAGACGAATAGAGGGCCCTGATTGGCCCACAAAGCGGATAAAGCGTTGTGATTGGTTCACAAAGCAGATAGGGCGCTATGATTGACCCACCATTATGGACCAATCACAGCTCTATGTGTTTGAAACTCTTCTAGAGAGCTGTGATTGGCCAGCCAGGATGCTGCTTGGCGCTGCAGAGGTTCCAACGGAGCGTTCCCAGGACAATTTAAGGCTAATTTAAGTGTTAACTCAAATAAACTTGCAAAAATAGTTATTTTTCATGAAGCTGTTGCACATTATATTAATGAACAGATGCAGAATGAAACAGAAAGTCGTTTTCCAGGAGTTTCCTCTGAATGTCGCACCGTGTTGGTGTGCTCAGCCTGAACTCTTCCTCAACAGGAATTATAAATCAGGAGTTTGTCTTCCAGCTCGTTGTCTCCCTCTGGTGGAACAACCAGGAAACACAGGCGTAACATTTTCTGCTCACAGGCGCATTTTTGGACTTTTTGGGATAAGGTCACCACAGTAGTTTGCCAAATACACAAACACTAAAGTAAAAAGGTGTTTAACCCAAGTAAGAGAGAGTTATGCTGCTCCTGACCCTGTTGTATTGCTTTGATCAGAGGAAGTCAGCCCTTCACAATAAGAGTCTCAATCACACGTACCTCAAAGTACTCACAGAGCATTTAGATTTATTCTGACTGATCTGAACTTACTACATCCAACTATTCTCTGCATTTTAAGCTCATTGTTGAGTGTTTTAAATTCTAATCTTCCTGTTTATTGGTGTTGTTGTGATTTAAAATGGCCACATCTTTACAGACCTGCTTTCCCGCCACTTCGTCGAATAGTTCCTGTGATTTTTAGATGGGATTCCTGGTCCGTCGTCTCTTATCTGGGAAGAGTTTGAGGGAGGGGCTGGAGCGAACATCCCACACCAACCCACCTACCTGTTAGACTGGTTCCAGCTGGGAGGAAACGCCTCGGACAAACAAACTCTGACCCTGGAACCACTTTGGAAACATGGCAACACCTCCCACATGGAGACGCCGTGGCGTCTGGACATTCTCTGGGCTCGGCCTTCAGCAGGGTTCCTTTTCTTGTGTTTTTTTTTTTTTTTCCCCTTTTCTGTGTGGATGGAACGGACTTCCTGTGCAGACAAGTGGACGTGATTGGTTCTTCAGTCCTGTTAACAACTTATTTCTGTCAAACTGAAAGGAAAACTAAAAGAAAAGTATTTTTGAACTTGGTAGAACCCTTTAGGCGCCAGCCGCAGCGTCTAAAGTGTTAAATCCCCCGTTTGGGTCAAGATGGAGGAAGTTGATTAACTGGAAGTTTTGTATTGTTGGAGAGAAAATTTATTTTGATGTAAAGTTGAAGGAAAACGAAGAGAACCGCACTGACTTTAAAGGGAGCTGACCTTTGACCTAATGACAGGAAGTCATCAGGACCAGATGATGATGAAAGCAGTTAAACTGTTCAGATTTGGGGGTTTGTGCCACTTTCTGCTTAAGTTTGCTTCAGATTTTAGCACTGAGTGAAGATATCCCCTCAGACGAGGGCGAGGGACGTGGCAACAGGAGCTGCTTGTGTTCGAGTTTCGACGGGACTCAGGGAAGTGTTGCAAAGTCAGTCTGAAAGTGCATTCTGGGTAACGTTGCCAACAAGCCGAGTTTTAAATCAGTTTTTTTTTTATTTAAACATTAACCGTAAGCTAAACGTGTCGTAGCGCCTCGTCACTCGTGTAGCCCAGCAGGTAGGAGGAGCCAGCGTTTGTTCTGGAAGGCACGCGTTAACTCGTTCATGTTACGTCTGACGTCATCTGACTTTTTAATCCAACACTTGATGAGTTTACGGTCGGGTTCATTTGTAGGAATTTATTCATTTGATTATTTTGGCTGATGATGAATTGTGAATGTTAATAAAAACGTATTTACTCTGAGACTTTCTCCTCAGTTTGGTATAATAGATGTGGGGGACATCCTGGACAGGTCTCCAGTTCAGCAGAGGGACAAACAACCATTCAAACACACACTTGTGGACAACTTTAGACGTCAATTCTCCTGAAGAAGTTGAAAGTCCCATCCATAATTTACACGCTTGTAGCTGTTGCAGTAAAGTGTTCTCATTTCATGGTTATAAGGTCAAAACTGAATAACCCAGTTACTGTACTGCCTCGGTGCCGCCTACTGGTGGAACTGAGTATTGTGCGTTGATCAGTTGACACTTCAGCTGAAAAACAAACCAATGTCCTAATAAACCAGATAAGGACAAAAGTGGACATGACTGCAGTTTGATAAGTGGACACAATAGGCTTAAAGAGCAAGTCACCCCCAAATCAACTTAATTATTTTCCTGATAAACTATATAAAATGGCCTGTATTTGATATAGCGCCTTCTAGAGTCCTGGAACCCCCCAAGGCGCTTTACAACAAAACCAGTCATTCACCCATTCACACACTGATGGTGATGAGCTACGATGTAGCCACAGCTGCCCTGGGGCGCACTGACAGAGGCGAGGCTGCCGAGCACTGGCGCCACCGGTCCCTCCGACCACCACCAGCAGGCAAGGTGGGTTAAGTGTCTTGCCCAAGGACACTACGACAGCAACAGACTGAGCGGAGCTCGAACCTGCAACCTGACGATTACGGGGCGAACACTTAACTTCTGTGCCACCGTCGCCCGTATAAATGCGTGTCTAATCGTGCTGCAGACACGTGTGATCAATAGTTTTGCACTTTAGCGCATTTTAGTTAAAATTTAAGTTTTCTGCCTGAAACTGTCAGTGTTGTGCCGTTGTCCGGTAAAAACTGCACTGCATTTGAATTTAAATCTGCCATCGCTATTGGCTAAGAGGTACCCTAGAACGTTAGCTGGTACCATATGTTGTCACAATGTTGTTGTGAACCTGTGTGTATTTGTTAGCGGCTCCGCCCTCTCGGTGTGCTAGGCAACAGCATTTGTTGCATTTTTCAAACAGGAAGTGGGAATGGAGTAATACTCTGGTAGGAGGTGACTTGCTCTAAGGATTAAAGTCTTAATTTAGATGAAACATCTTTTACTAAAGACTTCCTATTGAACCTTTTATGACTCGAAGGCAAAATGAACTTCTAGACGTTAGCTGAATTTATCTGGATATCTGATGATGACTATTAGTAAAACAAAAATAAATTATTTTGTAACTGTCCAATTCCAACTCTGACACCGCTCCAAAAAAATGTTTTCACCAGCCACCGATACCCAGGGAGGGTCAGATCGGTCACCGAGTTCTGTGTGTGTGTGTGTGTGTGTGTGTGTGTGTGAATCTGATGTCAACATGGTTCCGGTTACCATGTAAAGTGAAGACAGGGAAATCCTCACACACAAGATGGCTTCCAGGAATTCTTGGATTTTTGTCAAAAATGGTAAAGAACTGGTGAGAAAACAATTAATCAAAACATTTGGGAGCCCTAGTCCACACGACCGGTTACCACGGTGATAGATTCAAATGAATTAATCAGCCAAAAAAAATAAGCAATGTGACATTTTAATTTTATATAAAATACATAAATAAAGCATCTGCAGGTGGCATCAGGAGCATGTACACAAATTTAAATACACACTTAAATGTGTGCATGCTAACCCCCCTCCCTAAACTGGACACATGTGGTTGGACTAGTGACAGCAGATGACACTGGTCACATGATCACCAGCAGCGCTGCAGCCATCTCCCATTATCTGGCTTTGATTTTAAACCCGTTTGTTAAAATAAAATCACAAAAAATAAACATCTTTCTGAGCAAAAACGACAGAAGAGGAACCGTTTTGTTTCAGGTAGTCCCAGGCTGACCCGATTGCACTTTTTCACACCAATCGAAAAAAAACAAACAAAAAAAAAGACGAAAACCCTCGCGTTTGGCCGAGAATAAATAAAAGTCCCGCCTGGAGCGTCTCCAAATGCATCCTTAGAGAGGGAGAGAACCAGACGTGGGCGAGAGACGGGCCAGAAGGGTGTAAACGGACTTTACCGCATTTGCATCTGAAGCCGCTTCCTGTAAGACGAGCATAAAGGGGTGTGACCCAGACCCGATTCTACGAGAGCAGCAGAGCGACACGTTTAGAAATCATTCGTGCACCTCCATCTTAAAATATAAATCTCTTCTTTCATCCCGCAGAAACACTCAAGCTTGCATATAAACACCAGAGAGGAAAAATGTAGTATTTCATCATCTGTTGGAACTTTTTACCCAGTAGAGCTGGGACAGGCATGAAGATAAAAAATGATATGGCATCAAATGGATTTAATGGGAGTTATTGGTGGCGTTGGGTTTACGATGGCGGGGTCTTGAACTGCCCCCAGGCGTGGAAGCAGCGCGTGAAGCAGTGAGGCTCGTTTCCCTTCCTCACCAGACGCAGCTTCCTCGGCTGCTCGACCTCTTTGGAGCGCATGTGTTGGATGTACACCTGGACAGAGAAGGGCGGTTACTATGGTGCTCATTACACCATCCACAGGTGTGTCCTCCATGGCTCCCACCCACCTGACAGGCTTTCAGGCTGAGTTTGATCTCCACCTGGCTGGTCTGAGTGCCCACCCACATGTACACCTGGGAGGAAATAGAGGAGGGGTAAACACACACACACACACAGAAATAAATCCTTGTTTAAAGGCATACTAGACAACTTTTTCATATTTTACAATAATGTGAGCCAGAATGAGCTAAATTGAACTTTTGCCGGGTTATTGAAAAGTCACTAAGACCCCCACCATCTTCTGTGGCCAGAATATCACACTTGCAACTTCAGAGTGTCGGTCCAGTCCCTGTAGGACTTAGTTAAGTGGAGCCGACATGCCAGTGCTGCAGTCTGCTTCCTGCATGTTTCAGATGGTGAACACAGCCGATTTGTTTAATGTAGTGATGAACCGCTCCTGTAGACACTAATGAAGGCTGCTGAGACACTTCAGGTGTTAAAAAATGGACACTAGGGGGTGCTGAAAGAGCCAAACTGCATTTAAAGCTCTCATTCACTCCCTAACCCTGCACATCTGCTGTGATCTCAAGAATCTAAATAAGCGCCCTGTGAGTTGATGCCTGGGTAAAGCTCTGGCGCTCTTGTTTCAGGAAGTAGACGTTAGCTGGAGGAGAGGAGAGAGGAAAACAGCAACACGACTCCACCACAGAGTTCCGTTTGCTCTGCAGCGTTGATGGCTTTTTTCCCACCAGCCTGAAGGAGTTCTGCTGTGTGGTGGAGTTCCCCTTCGGCTGATTCACTCGTTACAGCGAAGGTACTACGGGACATCACGCCTGTATGGCCTGGCTGAAGACACGTTTAACACGCCTGTGAAGGCAACTGAGCCAGGTGGTGGCCCCGCCCACCCCATATAAACACCCAGCCTACTTTACTTTTATGCTCTTCAGCTCGTTGTTAACACATCTGCTACCAGCAGGTGCTATCGAAAAGTTAGCTTAACCGCTCGCTGCCTTCTGGCTAGCGTTCGTCCACCGAGCGCCATCTTTTGTGGAGCTCAGCTGCTCTAGTTTTGGCGTTCACGTCCTCGCTTCTGCTCTGTGGTTCAGGATTAGAGTTGGAGTCGTCTCTGCCCTCAGGACTGTGGGTTCTTTCTTCATGACGAAGACCAACACGAAGCATACGCTAATGCTAATAGTTAGCTTAAACTAGCCGAGAAATCTGCTGGTTCCCAGATGTTAAAACAACAACAGCCTTCCTCGATGGGCGAGTCCATGAATGCCAACTGTGAGCCGTAGATCTGCATCTCCCCGTCTAGCTTCTATCGGCAGCTAACGCAGGAACTACGGGTGGAAGACCTTCCACTCAGAGTGCCTGAACAAGGTCTTGAACGTGCTCATTTTGTTACCTCTTTGCCGTTGTCCAGCAGCATGATGTCATCGTCGGCCAGGTCGTCCTGACAAAAGTCTGAACACTTCTCAGAAACTGAGAAATAGCCTTTCTCATTGGAGCACCTGAGAAAAGAAAGAGAATCGAATCAAAGCTCGAGTGAAAGATCTCGAGACTGGTGTACAACAGGTGTAACGACGTTTAACGGGGGGACCACCTGAAGAGCCGAGCGTGTTTCATATACTCTGCATCTTCATCGTACTGCTTCTGAGAACCAATTCCAACCCAGAAGAAGTTCTCTGGCTCCTCCCCCTCGTTAATCACCTAGGAGACGAGCAGTGTTGGGCAAGTTACTTCAAAACTGTAATGCATTACTTATTACTTGTTACCCTCATTTTAAAGTTATTCATTACAATATTACTGATTTTAAAATGTAGGGCATTACACTACTTTTGCATTACTCTAAGTTACTTTCACAAAAACAACTTCAGTATGAATTTGGTAATCTGACGCTCGGTGATCTCATGACACGTCCGGTGGAAGGTGATGTGGTATCTGAGCTAGGACTGCTGTTAACTCATTCATTTTTTTACTGTGTGGGCGTCGGAACGAGCCCCCGCACCGCGAGAACAAACATCTCAGCTCTAAAGCCGATCTTCATCCACATACATCACACGTCATGTGATCAGGAAGCAGAACATCCATGTGTTAGGAGATCATTTTGGGCCGCTGCTGTAAAAAAAGTGAGGCACAAACCGGAAAAGCTTCTGCCGATCACATTTCAACAACAGATTATGAAGAACGGATAACGCTCGAAACGCGCGGACTCTTCCTGATGTAAGAGGTGAGTCTCCGCTTTGTTTTGGTTGTTTTGGCGTCGACATCATCCTAGCGTGCAACGTTCTGTGACTCTTAAAAAAAAAAAACTGTAAAAACGGTGAGAAACGCTGGCAGCGAATGAGTTAAAAACAGTTCTTAAGAATGATTGTTTATTAAATAAAAGCAAAAACAAACTGTACTCTCAGCACGCTGCCATGTTAGATTAACTGAGCAGGGAGTGAGGTGGTGGGGGCTCCAAGCCTATTTAGCCTGGGTCCCCCAAACGCCTTGATACGGCCCTGGATGTGGGACTGACTTCTGGGGTGATCTGATTCCATCACATGTGTAAATATTAAAAGCTTATATATTATTGCTTTTCACTGGTAAAAATGTGTATTGGGGATAAATCTACCTTTTCAAGTATTTGGTTTTGTCTTCTTGATTTTATTAGAAAAATTTCCTGCCCTTTCTCTCTCTAACCTTCCTGCATGCTGCATCTTTTCTCAGTCTTCAAGAAAAACTGTCCCAGACTTCCTGCTTTCTAACTAATCAGCCAAAGGGATCTTCACATGCGCGGCGCTCCAGCAGCAATGAGTTGAAATCACCGGGCGAGGGCACAGATTATGAACTCAGCTGAGGCAAAGCACGTCAGAAAAGTACAGAAAGTACCAGAGAACATGGGCTGATATGAACGATCACAAGTGGATTCTTCTGTTTTAGTGGAGCGATTTCGTGAATGTTACAGCGGCCGCGTGCAGGACGCAGCTGGAGTGTTTGAGCCGTTACCGCGGCGTCCTCTCTGCCCGCAAGGCTAAATCCACAAATGACGTAATATATGCAGATACTGGATCTTTTTCGGGCTTCCCGCAATTTAATGCGTCTTGTAATTACCGCGTTACTGACAGTTGTACCGAGTAAATATGACCGTTTTCTTTCCCTGTAATGCCTTACATTACCACATTACAGCAAAAAGCAATGCATTACAGTAATTAATTACTTTTGTACCGCATTACTCCCAACCTGGAGATGAGACCAATGATCTCAAAAAGAAAGTGGAACATGTCGAGTGTTCGCTCTAAAGCCGTGACGTCTGACCTGCTTGCTGTACGTGTCGTCAAACATGGCGTTCATGATGTCCTCGGCCAGTTTGGCCTCATCCGGGTCCGCGGCCCGGCCCACCCACGTGTACACGATGCCCTGGTTGTCTGTGCTCTCAAAAGGTACCTGAAGAGACGAGTGTGTGAGTCGGAATGAGCAAGCCTGGCTCATCTGTAATCTGGGTTTTAAGCCTCCAAACCTTGAGGATGAAGCAGAACTCAGAGTTGAGATTACCGGAGTCCGTCCCAATCTGGATGGTCCTGAACAGCAGAGGCAGAGTCACGTGTGAGAGGATTCAGAGATGAGGTAAAACCCCGAGCTGGTGCGGGTCGGCCTACCTGGTGCAGAGGGCGCTGCCGTTGGTACGGATGTGGTAGAGGGAGGGCTGGGCCGAGTCCGTGTTCTGTTTCCTCTTCCCCTTGTGGATGATGAACCTCCTCTTGAAATGAGACAAGAACTTGAGGTTCTCCTGCTGCTGGGTCATCCGCACCACCTAAACAACAGGAGGTCACCTCAGAACAAACACCAAGCACCGGCACCCTGAAATATCCTAGTAAATGTAGCGAAACCGGGGGAATTCCAGGAAAAAAAAAAAAGTAAAGGTTTCTTCCTGCCTTCAGTTTTCCAGGGAAAAGACTCTCAAACTTCTTCTGCAGGGAGAAGGTGAAGGTGAGCCAGCCCATGTTGGAGGCCTGTCTGCCCTGCCAGAAGTACACCACACACTGGAAGTCCTCCTCAGGCTGTTTGTCCTCCTCTTCCTCATCTCCTTTTCCTCCTCCCTCACCGCCCTGCTTCTTCTCCTTCTCCTCATCTTCCTCGTACTCCACAGGAACCCAGTATCTGAAACGATCCAATCACAAGACACTGTGTTGTCTGGGAATGGGAGGAAAGTCAGCCGGTGTCGGTGCAAGATCGGCTCGGGGTCCTTCGACTGCCGATGACGTCAAAGTACGGCAAAGCCACTCGAACAAAATACACTACACATCTATACTGTTGGAAAGAATTTAGCAGTTTCGTTATTAAAATAATGTTTCTTACGACGTAAGTTTGTGTTTATTATGGTATTTGTAAAATAAAACACTATTTTATTCATAATGTTGAACTCCTCTTTGAGCACATCCCTTGAAGGATCATAGGTATTATAGCAACACCTGTGAAATTGTATTTGCAGGAAAGAAGTGTGTCCCGTTTATTGAAGTATTTTGTGTTTAGTTTTTGACGTCGTGTCCATGAGCAGTTCAGTTACGCTCATAGCTGCTAGCCAAAACTCTGGAGTTAAAAGTTTTCTGGCTTTACTAAAATACCTGTCTGTACTTATTTGATTGATGGTAGTTTTACATTCTATTAGACTCCAAATGTAATCATTTGGCACGTTTCTAATTCATAATTTGTAAGAATGTAATCGGTGATATTAGCATTAGCATTCCTATGGGTTTTTCCATGGATATTAGCATTGCGCTAACCACTCGCTGCCAAATTGCAGCCTTTGCGATTAGAAAATCTCCTTTTGTCACATCGCAATTTAATTGCACACGCGGTTAATCGTTCAGCCCTAATATACATGCAGCTCTATGCTAAAAGTGTATTTTCAAAAAGTTAATGATGGATTTCTTTGTAAAAGTTGTCCATCTTTCCAACAGAAAATTTTGCCTGGACCAACGTAACGTGATTACGTAACGTCCGTAAGGTTCATGTTCAGCCAATCAACTACTTTGACGTCATCGGCAGTCGAAGGACCCCGAGCCGATCTTGCACCCGAGCAGATCTTGTACCGACACCGGCACTGTTACACCCGAGTACCTGCAGAGGAAGACGTAACAGTCCTGAGTGAAGAAGTGTCCAAACTCCTCCTCGGGCAGGCGGGTGAACTTCTTTCCCTCCAGCACAAATCCCTCCATCCCATCCAAGTCCTCGTTCCACTCCTCCATCAGCTGCTCAGCCTGAACATGGAGGACAGGTTTGGTTTACTGTTGGAAGGAACTTCATGTTTACGTCGCATCGACAGCCTGGACACCTTTAAAAAGCAGCTGAAGATCCTTTTATTTGAAATCGCTTTTGTTTATTTTTATTTGTTTTATGGCCGTTTTTGCTTTTAATTACCCTTTTTTCATGTTTTAACTTGGATGTGATTTTCCTTCTTAGCAAAATAAATAAACTTTACTTACTAAGCTACTTGAGCCAAAGCTAACGCTACACGGTGGTCACTCGGAGAAAGTTTGGGTCGTGTGGACTCGTGGAGGCGGGCGAGCCGTCAATCGTTCACTCAGCATCTTCTTACATAAATGAACTAGTTCCTGTAAAAGTTCACGATTTTAAGGAGCGAATGAAACCATTGAAGAGGAGAGCTAGCGTTAGCATTCAAACTCAAAAGCTAACGAGGAAAAGGCTTTGTTCTTTTCTTAGATGTGCAGAAGTAACCGTCAAGCTTCAAGAACCAGATTTTTCTTCATCTGAATGAAGTTAAAATAAATGGTCTGTATTTGTACAGCACCTTCTTAGGGTTCGACAACCCCCCCAAGGCGCTTCACCACACAATCAGTCATTCACACGCTGGTGAGGATGAGCTACAATGTAGCCACAGCTGCCCTGGGGCGCTCTGACAGAGGCGAGGCTGCTGAACACTGGCGCCACCAGCAGGCAAGGTGGGTTAAGTGTCACAACAGCAGCGTTCTCTTGTCGGGGCCGGGATCGAACCTGCAACCTTCCGATTACTGGACAACTTGCTCTACCTCCTGATCTGCTGCTGTCCCCAAAATAAGAAGATATAAATCAGCTCCCTTTTAGGAAAGTAATCCTGAACGCGAGTCTTTGTTCTCCATCCCTTAAGGCCTGCAGCTCTGAGAACAACATTCTGTTCCTCCATCACCTGCTGGCTCCACCTTTAGCTGGGCAGAAAAGTCAGGACGCTAACTTGCTAATGCTAACCGCTGCAACCTTGTGCGTGCTTCGGCCAGCCTGTAATTGGAGCTGTAGGTGTTGTGGATCTGAGTTTTATAGATGCAAACGGGCCTTGTGCTGCCATCTGCTACTAGGGATGAAGAGCACATGACCCCGACATCAGCCGAACAAAACTTCCTGCACGGGAGCACCAAGTCTGCTGTTTGTGTCTGTTCACTCAAATTTACAGATTTTGTTTCATCATTCATGACAGGAGGGAAGCGCAGAGATTAGGAGTTTTATGAATCTTTAGTTTGAAAGAAAACCTTCATTAGAATCAGAATTTTTACAAACTTTTACAAAAACCAGACGTAAAACACATCAGATTAAACCTCCCAGCTGTTAGTCTAGTCCCTGTAGTCTGTCCCAGCTCAGACAGCAGAGCCGTACCTCAGACAGCGGCATGGCGGGCTGCCGGGGAAGGAACAGCGCCGTGAGGTCAGCCTTCATCTGGTCCTTCTGCTCGGCATCCTTCTTCACCTGTGAGCAGACACGACATACATCACACCTGGTTCTAAGCTGTAACGGCACCAGAACTCGTTTCAGGACCAGAATCGGTCACCTTGCCCTGCAGGTTATCCGTCTGCTGCACCGTCTCAGCCGCTCTGGTGTAGTCCACCTTCAACACGTCGTCCCAGTTCTTAAACTTGGATTTAAACACCTAAAGCACAAAAGGAACACGTTCACAGACAGGAAAGATAAACCACTGACGCTAAACGACGGTGCGACGTCTGCGTGGAATGTCACCTGGCTCTCCGTTCCCTCCAGATTACGGGTCACGCAGCAGTGTTTGGGTCGATGCAGCATGGAACAGATCTCCTGGCCCAGTTTCAACGCCGCGGCTCGAACAAGGCGCGGGGACTTCCTCCCGATCCAGATGAAGACGTCCGACCAGCAGTCCAGGATGTACACACACTTGGTGTCCAGCAGAGACTGGACCTGAGGAGAAGGATGGAGAACAGAAAGCGTGACGTGAAGAGAGGAGGCGAGACGTTCTCTCCCTCAGCGGATCAACGTACTAGTCTGAGCTCCGGCAGCGTGTCCAGCTTGATCTTGTGGTCTTTGTGCTCGACAGACAGCTTGTAGTTGACCTGAGGCAGCTCCAGGTAGCCCAGGCCCAGGCCCACCTGCAGGAGACAGCAGCAGCAACACGTCACAACGCTGTTGCAGGGGTACGGTTTGCAGTGAAACACCAGGAGACCCAAACAAAACTAAGATTACTAGAGATTCCTGATTCTTCTACAGCTCTGATCGGATCTGCCAACAACAGTTGGAGCTAAATCTGAATTATGGTAAAGAAACAAAATAAACAGGAGATTTTCTTTGTTTACATTATGAAAGATCACTTATTGCTAGAGTTAATGAGAGCGGATGACGCTGAATATCAGCCGATTTCCACCATCAGTCATAAACAGTAAGTTGATATGTAGATAAATCTGTTTCACAGTGATATGGAGTTGTTGGTCACTGAAAAAGTAGCCGGAGACGTTTTAAGAGACGACCTTTTGTTTCCGTTAGCACCGTTAGCATACCGTTAGCCTTTATTAACCAGTAAAAGATGCCGTGGCTTATTGGGAGAAAAAGAAATAACTTCTGGGTTGCTCCCGTTTCCTAGGTAACAGCCCATCAACAACGATGCTGCTCTTTGTTGGCCGGTGTCGAGTTAAAAATGTCAGTGCAGGCTCACGTATGATTGGCTCTGGAACCAGGAAGTATGGAGGCTCACAGACTGTAAACAGTGACTGTGTCCGTCTTTGGCCTTTTTAAAAGGATCGGTCCTTGAAAATCCATCCATCAACGTCTAGTTTCCATTTCTGCTGCTGAGTGAAACTCAGCTACGAGATCCGCTTTCATTGCTTTTGATTTTACCCCTGACCACCATCGTCTCTGTTTGAGACAGAAATGTTGATCACTGATCAATCCCCTCTACATCCACACATTTCTGACTCAGATTTACTGGTGCGTCCATTCGCAGAGAGCATCGGTGATCTACATATTTACCTTGTACAGTTTGGGTCTGACAGGGGAGAAGTCATCCGGTACGTGCTTCCTGATCTCCTCTGGTTGACCTCCCAGAACCTCCCAGAACTCTGGAGGCTCCTGATTCTGTGAGAGGGTCACAATCTCTGCCTTCCCCTTCCGCTCATTCTTATTTATCTTTTCAGCAAACAACCTGTTGGATAAAAAAACGCCATTAAAGCCAGTTGTTTGATGTGACTTCAAACGCAGCTTGACGTGTGCGCTACCTGGCCTTCGTAGTGCCTCCGAGGGTAGCGTTGGCTCCTCTCCAGATGGAAACTTCCAGCCCCGTGTCCAATAAGAACACAAAGCTGCCAAAAGCAGACAGCATGTTTAGACACACTGAGATTCACAACGAGGACGTCGCACAGGAAGTAGTGAGGAATTAGCGGCATATTCTGATCATTTGTGATGGAGGGAGAACCAAATGTGTGTGTGCGGTTGTGTGAGAGGCAGGAAGTGTGTGCTAGTCACCGAGGGTCGAGAGAGGAGGCCTTCACTGGCACAGACTCCAGTCTGATGTTCTTCTTGCCGTAAACTCTGTACAATCTGAACAACACAGAAATAAAACCTGATTTAAAGATTTCACACCAAACAAACGCAGAACCGTGTGACTGAAACTGTTGGACAAGTCACCATCTCTCGAGTCCAAGTCACGTAGGATCAGTCAAGTCAGGGTCCCAAAAAGGGATCTTCCAGTCTAACATCCAGCTTGAACTGCCACTCATTGCATTTGCTCACCAAAAAGTGTGATTTTGTTAGCCTATGCTAATGTTAGCTTGTTGTATTAGTTCAGATTACTGGACAAATTTAATAACCACAACTTCCCAAAGCCTGTGGTGTACAGGTGACCTGCTGATTATTCATTTCTACTCAACCCCGCCCCGTCACACCTTTTTTATTTTAACTGAGTGTAAATTTCATTATAGTCCATCTTTAAAAGCTAACGCTGTGAGAAATATTAAAAGCAACTGTTCCGGTTTTAAAATCCTCAAACTCTGCCCTTCACATGTGGTATAAGACAATGTTGCCCCTTTAAAAAGAAGGTAATTCACCACAGGAGGTTGGCGCTCTGGTTTAATTCTGAACTGCTAGTGGTACCAGTGGAGTACCACAGGGTTCAGTGCTTGGACCATTTTTTTTTAATATATATATGCTTTCAATTGAAAAAATCATCAGACAGCATAGGATAAACTTCCACTGCTAGGCTGACGATACTCGGTTATCTATCCATGAACCCTGATGAACCTAATTGGTTAGGTAGACAGGCTTGTTTTGAAGACATAAAATTCTGGACGACTCTAAACATCCATCTTCTTCTGCTTATCCGGAGTCGGGTAGCGGAAGCAGCAGTCTACGTCGAACTATAAACTTTCTGCTGTTAACTGCATTTTTGGTTCTTTTTTAAAACACAGAAAAGGTTTTTCTTTACCTTGCTTGCTGACGTTTCATTCGCGGCTGCGAACTTCCTCAGAGCTGACGCTGATGGTGGCGTCACTTCCTACTCCGTTTATCCGCGGGCAGCAGAGGACGTTGTCGCTCTCTGCTGCCCGCTCTCCCCTCTCAGACGATGCAGTCCCATGCACAGTCCAACGTGTAAACTCCATCGTCACTGTTGATGGTCCCACATCCACGTCTCCTTATCTCAATTGCTTCTTTTATCCATCTTTTGTATTTCTGTTGTTCGTGTTTATGATTCTTGTGTTGTCCCAGTCCATTACATGGTTTTCTCTTAAGCAGTGATCTGTTACGGCTGACTTCTTTATTGTACTTTCTGCTTCTTCTTTTGCTGCTCTTGTGTGTTTTTGACTTGTTTCTTTCTCGCACTCCTTTCTATGTTCTATGTTCGTGTATTGAGTTGGCGTCCGGTTTCTCCTATGTATGTTTAATTGCAGAGTTTGCATGGGATTTCGTAAATGACTCCACATTTAAGTCCAGCTGATATTTTGTCTTTTGGGTGCACTAGTCTGTTTCTAACTGTTGTGTATGGCTTTGTTGGTGTGTTTATGTTGTGTTTTTTCATTGTTGCTCTTATTTTTTCTGTTATGCCTCCGATGTATGGTAGAGTTATCACTGGTTTTGGTTCTTGTCTTTCTGGGTTTCTGGTTCTTTGCTTAGGTTGTTCTTTTCTTTCTGTTGTTGTTTGTTGTTTTCCTTTGTTTATTGCCCATGTCGGGTATCTGCAGGTCTTTAAAGCGTGTTGTATGTGTTTGTCCTCTTGTTTACGGTCTCTTTCTTCTGTTACCATGTTTGCTCTGTGATATAATGTTCTGGTTACTGACATTTTGTGTATGGTGGGGTGTTCTGATGTCCATAATAACTATTGGTCTGTGTGTGTTGGTTTCCTATATGTGTTTATGTTTAGGGTCCCGTCGGTCTGCCTGCTTATTTTCATGTCCATAAATGCTATACTGCCTAATCAAGGATCATAAGCACCGAACAACAGAAATACAAAAGATGGATAAAGGAAGCTATAGAGATAAGGAGACGTGGATGTGGGACCATGAACAGAGACGATGGAGTTTACACATTGGATCGTGCATGGGACTGCATCGTCGGAGAGGGGAGAGCGGGCAGCAGAGGGCGACAACGTCCTCTGCTGCCCGCGTATAAACGGAGAAGGAAGTGACGCCACCATCAGCGTCAGCTCTGAGGAAGTTTGCAGCCGCAAATGAAACGTCAGCAAGGTAAAGAGAATCCTCATCTGTGTTATAAAAAAGAACCCACAATGCAGTTAGAAGAACAACACAGCAGGAACGCACCAAAGATTTGTGCTGTTAAACCAAGTGTAACGGAATGAAATGACTGTTTTTTCCCTCCTCTGTACAAGACTGGTCTGCATGAGAGATAGTCTCAAGGTCTCATGCATTCCTTCTAACCTGCTTATTGTCAGCTCAACAGAAGAATGAAGAATGAACTCTTTTCTTTTAATTAATCAAAGAACTCTATTTTAATAAAGCTAATCCAACCAAATGTTAGTCAATGAATAAGATGTGACCGATCTGTGAAATCATCATATCATAATCCTAATAGAATATAAAGCTACTATGACTTTAAATGTTCCAACAGGACTCATTTCACATAGCGTTAGAAAGACATGATACATTCCTTTCACTGATCCAATCAGTCTTACAGATCTGACGGAGGCGTGGCTTTGATGGTGTTTGGTAATTTTTCATTTGACAATAAACCATAACATCTGAAGTATAAAACTATGCCACGTCAGCTCTAATGCCAGTTCAAAGCGTTCTACAGAAAGTGACTGATTGGCCAATCCTGATCTAAAACTCTTCAACCAAACGAACAACGACAAGCTGAAAAGAAAAATTCGTTGCTATACCAACTGCGGCAACAGTTCCTTTCAGAACAAAAGCTGAACCATCAAGACCCAGGCTTGGGTCTCACCAGACGCCAACAAACTGTTGTGTACCCGGAAGTAACTCACAGACTGGTCTGATCGGAACCGCGGCTTTTCCTACCGGCTCGGTTCCAGAGAAGGTCAAGCTAGACCTCGACATTCCTGATCTAAAGGGGACTTCCTGAAGGGTAGATAGACCAGCATAATGGCGTCTCATGTGTTTATGGACCTCCTAACCAAAGCTTAATGCGAAGACATCACCTTCAGTTCCCGTCAGAACTAATCGCTTCTTCGGATTTGCTGGTTCTGATTTAACATCACACGTCATCCATTCACCGTCTCATCCACTTTGGTAACACCATACATTTAGTTTTAAAGTCAGTCTAGTTTAATTTGTTAGTAATAAAATTCTTAACTTTTAAACTTGACTCTCTCTCTCTTCTGTTGTCTCTGAGTGAATACGAAGTGGTTATCTAATCCCTGCAATAAAAAGATCCAATCTTCTGGTTTAAATAACTCACAGATCCGTAAGGTGGATTTCATATTTCCTATGGAATCCCACGCCTTATGGCTCATTAAATAACTGTAATCTCATTCATTACACAAGACAAGACCGAAGTTCTCATCTTTGGACCAGAACCTCTTAAAGGAAACAGCTTAGTGAACGGCATTAAATTAGCCTCAGAGAACAAATGAAGGAACCTTGGTGTTATCTTTGACCAGGACATGTCATTCAAATCCCATGTTAAACAGGTTTGTAGGATTTTCTTCTTCCACCTCCAGAATATTACTAAGATTAGAAGCATCCTTTCCAGGAATGATGCTGAAAAATTAGTTTGTGCATTTCTTACCTCAAGACTGGATTACTGTAATTCATTACCATCGGGAAGTCTTATGGAGGTTTCTTTCTGTTAAAAGGGACTTTTCGTCTCCACTGTCGCTACATGCTTGCATAGTATGAGGATTGCTGTAAAGTTAGAGACTCAATGCAATCTGCAGGGTTTGCTTCCATTATAGCAAACTTAATTGGCATAACACACTGGAATCAATGCACTGATAAATTGGTTCAACTGGAATGTGTGTAACGTGCCTTGGAACGAGTCTTGTTGTGAATTGGTGCAATATAAACAAACTGAACTTATTATTTTTGTACCATGTGTTAGCTTGGGGACTTTAAGCTGTTCCAGTCCTGTCTTCTATTGTCCAACTGCATTATTGTACATCTGGAATCCGTATTTGTTCTTCCGAATGGAAAAGTTATTATTTTTCTTTTGTTATTTGTTATTGAATCAGATACAAAACCCAGAAAACAAGTCTTATTTTTCACATTTTCAATTTTACCTCAAATCAAAAATATAAAATGAGGACCAAAAACCTGCATGTTATTACATGGGTCCAGTTTACGTGGACAGGTGTGTGTCAGGCAAGGGCACTGGCCAGGAAGCACGGATTCGGTCTACTGTGACTCGAGCCCAACTAACTAGACATGAACTGTGTTTTAATTATGTTGAAAAATGAAAGATGAGAGTGGTTACTTTATCTTCTGAGATTCCGGTGACAAACGAAAAAGTTGAGGCAGATCCTCATGGCTGCGTAAACTGCATTCATTTTGAATTTAACGCTCAAAGTCTGAGTCCAAGTCATCGTCACGCTCCTTAAATCAAGTCGCAAGTCCCTTAAACGTGACTCGAGTCCAGTCCTCCATCACTGCTGCTTGAATGATTAAAATCAGATTTAAATCAAGTGATGCGTCTCCTCTACCTGGCGGGATAATGCGTGTCTTCCACAGTGTAAAACCCACTGGCTGTTCCTCCCTCGATGTAGGAGATCTCGTTGTTAAAGACCTGCATACACATGTCACAAAGACGACGCCTCAGAGACCACATGCATGTCTTTATACCTGCTTGTATAATTAGCTCGGACTAGCATTAAGTCTCTACGTACGGCACTGAACTCCTCGCTCTCGTCTCCCATCTCCTCTCGGATCGTTCTGCACTCGGCTCCTAAGAAGTTCCTCAGGTTGACAGAATGGATGGCTGAACCGGCCTTCTTGTCCAGTGTGGCTTCCTGACCAATCCAGTAGTAGATCTGCCAGTTTAGCGCTCCGTTATCGTCCAAAAAGGTCTGCAGATGAACACAAACGCACAGAAAAGCAGCAGTGAGGCTTGAATATGTTAAAATACACAGTTAACCCTCTGGGGTCCAGGGTGCAATTAGCGGTTTTTGACTAATTTAAGAGTTTTCCTTTGTATTTCCAAAATAAAAACCATAACTACTGCCTTATGGGGTATTAATCTTTTCAGCACAACCTGGACTTTATGAATTTATACTTATTTTTTTACATTTGGACATAAAGGGGTTGCATATTAGACCTTTAATCACTCAAAAACATAAAATCCGAATTGGAAAAAAGTTGTTTATTTTACTGTGAAACCAAAAGAAAAAAAAAGACGAATGATTTTTATAATTTAGAACGGTAATCTAGACTGTACATTTTTAAAAAATATGAATAAATACAGCAAATAAATTTTAAAAAATTATTAGCCCTCTGGGGTCCAGGGTGTAAATCACTGTTTTTGACTCATTTAGGTTTTTCTTTTGTATTTTCTAATAAAAACAATAAATATTGCCTTATGGGGTACCATTTTTTTCAGGACAACCTGGACTATCTGAATTTATACTTATTTTATTAATTTGGCAATAATTACATGCAGTTTGGAGTGGGGAGCGGCTCTGTCTCACGCCGAGATCTGACAGCTGCGCGGCGCCGCCCACTCCTCTTGTTGGATCTCCGAGGAGCTGGATCTCTGCCTTCATCCTCTACCTCATCATGACCCAACTCTTCTATGAGGAAGGATGGATCTGCCACATCATCGTCAACATCCTCGCTATTTGCCTCAGACTCCGGCTGTGAGTCTCCGTCCACTTCCTCTGCTTCCAGTTCAAAAAACAGCCGTACTTTCTGAACTGCCTGGTGGACATTTATCCTTCTCATCATCCTTTATATAAGCCTAATAAAAGCCGACTAAACTGCAGAGACAATATTTCTGTCCGGATCGCTCCAAAATATGAAGTTTACCGTCAATATCTGTCTAATTGTTTGTTGTTACTCCGTTGGCGCCACTCCTTTCCCCGCAAAGCGGCTCCTTTTTGTGCACATCTCGTTACTCGTGCGGCCTTCCTCTCTCTCTCAGCTACACAATGATACTTTTTATCAGTTGAATATGTGAGACTTCCACCAACAGCAGAAGGATCTCATGTTTTTGTGGGTTTTTTATGTTCACAAGCACATTCCCGCTCACGGATTACTAAACTGCTGTTTTGACAAGTTATCAGATTGTCTAAAAGTAGGTCGTTTTTTTAGTTTAGTACAACTCCGCGTTTACGTTGCCTATTAACACAATTTAAAAACTGGGGTGTAGTTTATAATCTCCTTTTAAAGCTGAATTGAAACCGAAACTCAGGGAGGCGGAGTCTTGCTGCTACAGCGTCCCAAATCAGACCTGTTCAAAAGACGCGGATACGCGTCCATGGACCCCAGAGGGTTAATGAATAATTAATGCAACGTGATGAAAGCCTATCTTGTTGTAGGTGATTGTAACACTTAAAATAGCCGCTAGGTGGAAATAAAATAATACTCCATGTGCTTTTGTAGGCAGGGGTACTTTTTTTTGCACAGCACCAGTGAAAAACCTAGACTGATCTGGTTTCTGCCACTGTAGTTTTATTTTGAAAGGATTACAAGGCCGTTACCATCAAACTCTAATTGTTTAGGAACACCCACCCTTGACGTGAATGCCAACAGGTCAGTACCTTCAGGATGATGTAGCAGTCCGCCTCGTAGAACTTGCCGTGGAACGCTTCGTCCACTTGCATGGGAATAAAGTTCTCTATCTGCCACACTGACACACCTGGAATCTGTAGAGAATTAAAACAAAAGGGTCTTTTTACTGCGACGTGGCCCAGCCAGACACAGGTGAACGTCTCCGGATGAAACCCACCTGTCCCACGTCCTCCAGGAAGAACTCGGAGTAATCCAGCTGAGGCTTCTCTAGGCTCTTGTCCCAGCGGCGGACTTTTAAATCACCATATTTTAAATCGCCGTTTTCCTACAAAAGGAGCAGACTGGTTAGCGGGTGAAATAGTTAAACTCTTTCATCTTCGACCTGATTGGTGTTTAGAGCTCTGGCGCTCATGTTTCAGGAAGTAGAAGTTAGATGGAGGAGGGGGGGGGGGGGCAGAAAACGGCAGGATTAAGAGTCTTACTTGTTTTTATTCAGGATATTTAGACATCTCGCTTCTGATTGGCTAAAAGCAACGTGACTCTAACGCTGATTCAGTTTGTTCTTTGATGTTTTATCTCCACAAATAACACACGCCTGGAGGAGTTCTGCCAGGTTATGGAGTTGCTAATGCTAGCAGTTAGCTTCTACTATCAGAGACGTTCTCTGCTGTTCCCTGGGCGCTACACCGACAGCAGCCTTCTCTGTCAGGAGCCAAGATGGCGGAGTCCACGAGTGTTCATTTACAGCGTGTTAATCCAAGTGTTTCACCATCTATTTTATATCCGTGGTCAGGAAACACGGGCAGACGGCTATTTTCACGTTTGGCCTGCACGTGAAACCCACAGTGACCAAATAAGTAAAAATAAAAAGTTCCTCGGTAAACTTTTGCTTTAATAAACAGGATTTTAAACAAAGAAATAAATGTTGCAAATAAAGGTTTTATGATCTTTTCCTGTCTTTCATACCTCCATGTTCTTCTTCTCTTGTGCAACGTCACTCATGCCTTTCAAGACCTGCTTCGCCTGATCGTCCTGAGAGGAGTCCTTCCTTCTTCGCAGCCTCATCTTCCTCGCCATGTGATCTCTGGGGCTGGATCCTGGACACACACACACACTTTAGCTTTTATAAAGATGGATTCAAAGCAGGGAAATGGACCGTTTCATCACCAGAACACACACACACACACACACACACACACACACACACACACACACACACACACACACACACACACACACACACACACACACCTCCCCCTGCAGCAGCTACGGTGGCGGGCGAAGCTCCGGCCAGGCGGAGCTGGTTCTGAAGGGAGAAGTCGATGTTGTACCACTCGGCTGTCCGGTCCGCAGGTTTTGGAGGCATGACCAGGTTGGGGTTTTCACGCACGTCTAGAATCTACAGAAGCATAGAGATTCGTGCTTCATGTCCCGTTTGTTTCAGGTGTTTTATCGTGCTCATACCTCCAAGTCTGTCAGGAAGTGGATGGCTTCAGGCAGCGTCACCAGGCGGTTTTTATTCAGCACTAGCTTCTTCAGTTTGCCACACCTGAACAACAGAACAAACGCGAATAACGTCCGTTAGTAGAACTTTCGCCGCTGCTTTAACGGGTTCGGGTGCAGAGATTACCTGCAGAGTCCCTCGGGGACGAGCTCCAGGTTGTTGTTGGCAGCCATGAACTCCGTGAGGCTCGCCAGCTTACCGACACCCGGAGGAAGCCCGTCAAAGTCCAGTTGGTTGGAATTGACATACAGCTTCTTCAGCTTGGAAAGCTTACAGATGGCAGACTGAACGGAGACAGAATTTATTTCATACGATGTTTTAGAACTAAAACAGCAGCAGCAACATAAAAAAACACTAAAAATCTAAATTTTAAAACTGATCCAAGACTTCTGAAGAAATTGTTTTCCTTTGTGATCCAACCAACTGCTTGTTGCATCACACCGCTACCACCAGGTGGTGCTAGTGTGTTGCGGGGTTTTCTAACCACCACAGGAGCAAATTCCTATCAAGTTTGATGCAATTCCAGATTTCTGCGTACATAGTTTCATTTGTAGGAGGATTTTAGGTGGAAACTACAACCACGGATGAACTACGCCGTTCCTGCCAGGGAAAGATCTCAGCAGAGGCGCCACGTGCCGGCAGGCAGGGCAGGCTCTTGCTTGGAACCTCCAGACCACAAGGGGGCTACAGAGGGCTCAGAGCCACCACAACAGTGAGCCAGTAACAGCACTGCTGAACGTCTTACGGCCTGACTGATCCACCACATCTCCTCCATCCCCGCACCGAGATTCCCTGACGGAGAATCGAGCCGCTAAAATTTTTAAATGTACGTCTTCCTTTTCAGAAACGGAGGTTGTCCTTCGACTTGTGTTGAGCTTCAGTGGCTGTGATCCTTACAGGCAGAGATGTGAGCTGGTTGCGACTCAGGTTGAGCGTCTCCAGCTGGGTCCACTGGTCGATGCACAGGGAGAGCTCAGTAATCTGATTACTGCTCAGGTTGAGTCTCTTCAGACTGCCTAAGGAGTAGAGGCACTCCGGTACCCGTGTCAGGTCGTTACAGGACAAATCTACATCTGACCAAGAGAGAGGGAGGATCAAATCAAACACAGGTTTGGTAAAGGTTAACGGAGAGGTGTGTGTGTGTGTTACCTGCTAAATGAGTCAGTCCCTCCAGGCTTGTCGGCATGTTGCTCTGAGTCCTCTGAGTGTTCCTCAGGTGAAGGGTCTGTAGCTCCAGCATGGCTGGAAGCTGCCTGCTCAGAAACACACTTTTCATGTTTCTACACCTAAACTCGGTTGTTAGCTTAAACTCTGACGCTAACGCGTCGTAGCCATCAAAAACAAGCCGGCTCAGTTTACCGCAGCTGTGCGTGCATAAGCGGGTTGTTGTTCAGGACCAGCGTCTGCAGGTGAACCAGGCGTCTCATCTGCGGTGGCAGGCTGTCCAGCTTGTTGTCGCTCAGGTCCAGGTACAGCAGGTCTGTGAGGTTGATGAACAGCTGGTTGGAGATGGAGTCGATGCTGTTGTGGCTCAGATTCAGCACCAGCATGTTCCTGCTGTTCTCCAGGTCTCTAGGGATCTCCGTCAGCTGGTTGTAACTCAGATCCTAAAAACAAAGTCTGTGACTTAAACGTCTGAACAAGTACACTAGAGGAAAAAAAAAAGAGCATGTGTGTGTGTGTGTGTGCTTGGCAGCAAAGTTAATGTAATGGTGGAGTACCAGCACAGAAAGGTCATCGAGCTGAAAGATGTCATCTGGGACTCCAGAGTTCTTCAGGTTGTTGGCTCTGGCTACAACTGCCTGCATGTAGAAAACAAAACTCTTCCAGAAAACTGGACTTCACAGCCACACAAACAGAACCGGACTGGTTTACCAGCATCAGCTTGCGGCGTGTTAGTTACCCGGAGATTCGGTAGGCTGGACAGCTCTCCGTGTAAGGTGGTCAGGCTGTTGTGACTCACAGAGAGGTGCTCCTGAAGAAGGAAAACAGATTTTTCCCTTAAGTTGCTCATACCACAGCTGCGCTTAAACACATGTATCCAACTGTAAACAAGATCAAACAAGATAGAGCTGCAGGTAATCACACTGCTCGCTCCACCTGCTCCACTATAAGCCGTCATAGAGTTTGGGGCATGTTGGGTTTGGTTACTCCTCCCTGTGACGTCTTCATGGAAAGAAGAGACTTTGCACTCTCGGTATACGACAGCATGAAAACAAACGGTTAGCTTCCTGCACACACGTTTCTGTTAGCCATCTTTACACCAAAAGCTCTGGCACCATCCACTTACCCTGTCCACTGGGAAATGCTAATGCACAGGGATTGTCGTCTCCACGCCAGCTCGTTAAAGCTGCTGCTGCTGACCCCCCACCCCCCCCCCCCACCCCACCCGGAGGACAGGAGAACAAGCAGCTAATTAATTAAATAATTTGGTTCTGTACCTTTCTCTTCAGCACAGCTGACAAAGGTTTAAGATGGGTCAGTCCTCCTGCATGCTCAGATCATTCCCTTCCCTTGCTTGAAAAATTGTTCCAAAATGAAAGTTGAACCCACATCTTTTTTATCTGTGAATTCAATGCCGTTCAGCGAGTCTCAAATAAAAATTTGGGCATCTTACTGTAAATAAAACATTCCACTAATGTAAAAATGAAACTCTAAATAAACTATGTTCACATCCAGAATCGAACCCGGATCTTCTGTACGAGAGTCCGACGTCTTACTAGGTGAGCTAAAGCGCCAGTGACGACTTTTGTATCAGTAACATTTATATCCTCGATGACAGCTGAAACAACGTTCAAAGAACGGTTCGGAGGGCTATGCCTGAGCGTGAACGCGCATGAAGCAGTCCACTCGACCCGAGCATCTCTCTTTTTCTGTGATTTTACAGAAAAACAAGCAATCACATTAAAAATGCCAGGGCTCATTCTACAGGACCAGGGCATTGCAGGAGAATGTATGAAGAAGAAATTTATTATTTCTATACATGTTTTGGCTGTCAAACTTCCATAACGTCCCTTTAATGACCTCCTTTAGCTAAAATCCCAAGTGCACCAACACACAAAGGCTAAACACACATCCCTGAGTAGCCCCTGCGCTGTGTGGTGGAGTGTGTGATAATTTATCATCAATAAAACATGTGATCAAAATAAGACTGCATGATTGTTTTGATATAGCTTCAGAAATTGGTGTGAAAGTCCTTAGTTTTAGGGTATTTTTACCATTTACTGCAAACTTGATTAAAAAAACTGGAACTTTTTTTTAAGCTTTGTGATAAATTTTATAAAAACTTTTGAACTTGGCAATAAAACGGATGAACTCTGCCACCTGGGAACACCCTACCCACAGCCCACCCATCATACCCCTTCATACTAGTAGCAAAGATGAAATTCAAAGAAAAACAATCGGGCACATCAAGAACACCCCCACTAACACGTCAGGTAAACAGGACGTCTCTGTACGGTGTGCCACCATGTTGACCACTCGGGTTGGCGAGTAGGAGAATCCGCTCACCAGCTTCTGCAGAGAGGCCAGCTCTTCTGGGAGGTAACAAAGACCTGTCCTGTTGAGTTTCAGCCATCGCAGGCTGCTCATAGACTTAACATGCTCAGGGAAGTACCCTCCCTAAAGGGACAGATCAGACAAAAGAAATTATTACCAGGAAAAAAACAACATAAAAAGAATCAAACGATTGTTAAGAACAACCGCAGAAAAAACTAAAACATAGAAAATGGGATCTGAAGAGGAAATTATACAAGGTCACAAACTCGTCATTGTTTTTTAACCCCCAGGTGTCGCTACATTTACTATCCTCTTGTTACCTCAGAGGACAAACATGTCGGCTTGTAACAGTGGCTATAAAACATGTAAACGTTCATGCTTTATTTTTTTGCTTTTTTCATAAATCTTTTATTATAAAACTTGAGTCGACTTGAGTTGAGAATCGACTGGAGGACCCTGGAGCTTTATGAATTGGCTGATATCTTGGCATCAGCTCTTGTTAAAAGTTTCTTGCACCTGTTATCTTTATCCTGGTCATGATCTGCTTAGTTTTAGGCTGTGTGATCCCTTGTTTGAAGAGAATGGTTGACAAGCTAATGACAGATGCCTTGGTTCAGTACACGCTCCTGCAAGATAGAAAGGGCCTGGAAGAAAGTGAATATGTTGCTGGTTTCATTATGATTTCAACAATGTAAACTGCAGGTTCAGTAACCGTTGTTGATTGATGCCCTGGTAATCAGCTCAGTTGAGTTTATGTTCTTTTATATTTTTACTTAATCAGTATAATCGTTATGATTTGATTTTTGGTACAATCCTTGAGTTTGACATGATCACTGCTATAATTAGAGTTGTCACGATGTGAAAATTTAACCTCACGGTTATTGTGACCAAAATTATCACGGTTTATGGTATTATCGCGGTATTTTTTTAAACATGTTACATTTTCACACAATTAAATAAACCCTGTATATCAGGAAAATATTGTCCTCAGTTTGTGTCAAAATTTAGCCTAAAATGTGTTATTTTGTAATTACGTTGTTTATTTGTTTACATTTTTCCCTTTAGTCTTTAAAATACCAATATTTGCCCATAACTTCTTATTTTTTGTCTGTTTGATGTCATCATTTAAAAAATATTAGATCAGATGATACTCAGTACTCAAGTAGCCTTCTAATCAGATACTTTTTTACCCTTACTTGAGTAATAAACCCTATATCAGGAAAATATTGTCCTCGGTTTGTGTCCTTCCAGTGAGCTTTGCAGATGTGGGAAAATGTCATCAGGCAGTAATCATTGTTAAATTCATAATTATTCTCGGAGAGAGACCAACTCTTATCTGCCCCTGGGAGCCCCGTAATGCATAGCGTCATTTCAACATGGGGGTGTCCGCGACACGGTTTATATACAGGTAGCGGCGCTGCGGCTGCTTTATATAGCGACTCGTTGCATTCTCCCTCAACCCAAATCCTCGGATCACGCATTTTAGCTAAAACGCTAACGTTAGCTTGCCTTGCGTTGACTGTAGAGTTGTGGGTGATGGTCACGCAGATGTGTCATGAGATTTGAAGCGTTGCTGCCTTTCACAGACACTTTTTCTGCACGTGCTGCAAACAGGATAGCCGTCTTCTATCAACTGTCCCTAGACATTCTTAAAATATCCAAAAAATGCCCGTACTTCCCACTTTGTCTTCTTTGAGGGATAATAAATGTCCCGAGCGCTGCCGTCTCCTCCTTTGGCCATTATTTCAGCTTCAGCTTCAAGAAAGTTTTGGTTGTAAACAACAAAGTGCGCATGTGCCGCCGGCAACTTCAGCAGATGATACGGTGGCTGGTAAGGGTCACCGCGCCTACACCGCAGACACAGTAAACCCACCGAGATAATATAGTTTTTAAAAACAAGACGGTTATTGTTTTTTGTCAACTTTTTTACCGGGGTTTACTGCTACACCGGTTACCGTGACATTTCTAGCTATAATCATCCATTTTATAACAGGTTGCCAACTATTGAAGCTGCTTTAATTTTGTTACAGGTTGTTACTTATTTTTACAGCCTTTTATGAAGGTCACTACTTCTTTTGTGGTCTTCTGTGTGTTAGAGGTTGATTCTTTGCAGCTGCGACCATTACCTGTAATCTTAGAATAGTTGTTGTTTTTATTACACCAGTTAGTTAGATGAACTTCGTTTGAACAGGGGGGAATTGTTGGATAAAAACCGTATTGGATGTATGGAAATGATTTTGTCTGGGTACCATATGGTGTTTTTTAATTCAAACGAAGGTTCATTCCATGTTCATGTTTTGTTATTACTCTGTGCCTCCGGCAGGGAGGTTCAACCTTGTAAGTCTGCAGTTCTGATATCACAAAGCTCCCGAGCGAAGTCCAGACGGAGCTTTCCTCTGTTATACCAAGAACCCGGGGAAGTTTCCTTTCTGTGAGGGGGGTGGGTGTGTTTATCTTTAATGTGTGTGTGCTATGTACTTTTGAATAAAACCTTTTTGTGAGCATCTGCTCGTCAAGAGACCGAACAGAAAGCCACTGGTGTGTATCTTCTTTCTCTCCGATTTTGCAAAGTCTGGTTGTTGATTATTGGTGATCGATTATTGGTAAATGGTATTGATAACCTACAACCATAAATCTCTAACCCCCTTGTGTGCGTTGGACTTTCTTTGAGGTAATCCTGGATTGACTAAATAAAATTACCCAACAGTGCTCAAACGTATAAAAACTTAAAATCCAGGTGATTACTCAATCACGGCTGAAATTTATGAAAAAGGCACAAAAAATGCGTTATTTTCCCAAGAATCTATTTGCCTCCAGCCAGGTGCATAAATGCTTTTGTTTTCTACACTTTGAAGCTCAGTAAGAGAGTCAAACTGCATTTTGTTTACTTCTCAGAGGGTCAGGTTGACCTTTTGACTTCAACACAAACAGCAGAAGATCTACAGGAATGTGTAGACTTTCTCGCTTGGGTCACCAATGCAGAAGCGACTGATTTTGGTGGTGAACAGTAAAAATCACAAGTATGACTACTTTTCTCCTAAATAAAACCTAATATTACAGAATGCGTGATTATTTTTGCAGACGTTACAGGATCAAAAATTGTGGTTTGAATGGAAGTCAATGGGACGTCTTTGTCCTTGATTGGTCATTCGAGGACGGTACATTTTAAATATGTAGCTACGCAAAAACTATAGATGCAGAACTTTTAATTTTGTAGATATTTTATAACATAACTAAGACTGATTTGTAATAAACACCCCAGGCAGAAAAAGTGTTTACTTTTAACTCATTTGCTGCCAGCGTTTCTCGTTTTTACTGTTTTTTTTAAGAGTCACAGGACGTTGCACGCTAGGATGATGTCAACACCAAAACAACCAAAACAAACGGAGACTCACCTCTCACATCAGCAAGAATCCGCGCGTTTCGAGCTTTATCCGTTCTTTCATAATCCGTTGTTCAATTGTGGTCGGCAGAAGCTTTTCCGGCTCGCGCCTCTTGTTTTTTTTTACAGCAGCGGCCCAAAACGATCTCCTAACATATGGATTTTCTGCTTCCTGATCATGTGACATATGCGGATGAAGATCGGCTTTAGAGCTGAGAAGTTTGTTCTCTCGGTGCTGGGGCTCGTTCCGACGCCCACACAGTAAAAAAATGTAAATGACGACTTTAGTCGTCACTGGTAGTGAATGAGTCAATAACTAATTTTTGTGTATTTTTATAAATTGCAGGAATGACTGAGTATTCAAACTGGAATTTGAAGGGTTAAAATCCTCAAAAGGACAAAGTTTTTGTGGATTTGAGCAGGGCTCAAGTTGTTTAACAAGTCTATGAAAAAAAAGCCTAAAATATATGAATGTAAACATTTTTTATAGCCTTTTTTATGAGCAGACCGTTTTGTCCTCAAATGTCACAACAGGATAGTGTTTTTATTTTTTCATAGTGTTCCCTTAGTCTTTTTTCAAAAATCCAAATTGAATTTCAAAATTTGTCAAGAGAGAGGTTTAGCGACAAAATTTTACACCACATGCACAAACACTGCAAAAAAAAAAAAAAAAGTCGTCGAAACTAAAAGGGAAAAATGCCCAAATGGACAAAAATGTCTCCAACGACACCTGAGGGTTAAATACGCAGGTTGTTTTTATGTAAAAGAAATGGTTAATCTGGTAATTTTGATTATGTAGTCTGAAATAGAAGTTGAAAACAATTTTTATCAAAAAAATTCAAATATATAAAATTTGTCTGCATTTTTGTAATACTTAATAATTATCCAGCATACTAGGGTTGCACAATACATCGCATATGTAGCATCATCGCAGTATCAGCATGTGCAATACGCAAATCACAAAGAACAGAAAATAAATTAGGTCAGCTCAAATGTTTGATACACAAAACGCAATTTGTCAAACAGAAGCATGACATTTTTGTCTAATCAGTTAGAGCCCTTCACCAGTTTGGCCAGTCGGGTGGGTTCTTATGGGTTAGACCTCAAGGTGGATGGATGGCTAGCAAACACTGGAGTTAGTTTAAGTGTCGCGGGTAAGATAAATAACCCACGTTTAAAACAGCACATCTCTTATGTCAAGACATTTTGGTTACGAGAGACACAACGTTCAACAAACACAAGTACTTTGCAAGACATGCCAAACACTTGTGGCATCCATGAGGGGAACAACGACAAACCTCTGTTGTCATCAACCATAAATATCTATATACGGGGCTTCAGAAAGCTAGCGTTGGCAAGCCCAAAGTCTCTGATGTTAAGACAAGAGCACAACAGCCCACCAGATGCCAATCTGTCAGAGTTTTGTGGGTGGAACGCTCTATGAGAAACCATCAAAGTGGCACAAGGAAATAACGGAGGCCCTTGCACATTATTTGGCTATGGCTTTGATGCCAATGAGTACAATGAGCCGAGAGCCACAAACGGAACAACTGGGTCAAGGGGTCCAGTGCAGTGGGTAAGTGCATTAATGGCTGCGGGAGCAAACATATCCGTTTAGCTCTATAAATGTTCAACAGTGTTGTCCTATATGTCCCATAGCTCAAACATATTTAAAGTTTTTACAATTTTTTTTAAACAGATCAGCTAATTTTGTAATGTCAACTTTAATGATTTCATTTTGTTAGTGTTAATACTTAGGATAGACGATGGAGTGGCGTGTCTAAAGTGTTTATGATTCAAAACGAGCACTGCTTATTTAAGCATTTGTTTAATTATTGCAAGTCATTGCAATATTAATCACGGTAATCAAAGGTTTTCCTAATATCGTGCAGCTCTACAACACACACACACACAGTCTGATAGATCCATTGTAAAACCTTATCTGACCCATGAGGCATAATTGCACTGTTTTCCTAGAAATAGCTTTAATTACTGATTATAATTATAGAAATAATGCGGCATTCACATGACGTCATACATCTATTTGATGACTGACACAAAAAGAGAAAACCAGACATTTAGAGCCAGACAGGTATTTTGTGGGTTTGGATTGAGACCCCAACTAACTGTATAATTGAGAAATGTTGTGACTGTAGCATTAAAGGCCTCTTGGCCAGGACTCCCTTGAAAACGAGGCTTTTAACCTTCCTGATGAAATAATAAATGAATATCCTTAAATTACTTATTTTTTACCTTTAATAATATGTAAAAATGCATTGACCGATTATTATTGGTCAAGCAGAAACTAATCTGAACCCATTGACATGATTAAATCCTTTAAGGGCCGGTTTTAAATTTAAATACTTACATATTTGGATTTTACACTGGTCTGCTTGCTGGTCATCTATTTGTTACTTGACGTTTAACAACTATAGTTTAATAAGTCTCCTATCAACTCGGGCATCTAAAATTCATCCACAGCTTTTATCCCACTTAAGGTGAAAATGTTAACATCATACGCTTCTGACCCAAACAAATAAAAGTTAGCCTTCGATGTTTAGCCAAATTAGCTGGGTGACGTGACGTTAGACGTAGCTAGTAGTTTGCCTCTAAACAAATAAAAACGTTTACAGAGTCAAACTAAAAGGGCAGCCCTTTCTCTAACAAAGATCTACCAGATTTAGACGAGAAGGAACAACAACTTCGTCAGTTTGACAACTGGCTAACGCCCATTGCTCCTGAGCTATGTTGGTCAGTCATTTTCTGATGAGTCTCATTCCCGCAATAGCTTCAGCTAAGCTAAAGACGTAAACTGATCTAAAAGTGAAAAACGGTGCTCTTAATCCTTACTTTAAAGTCGTTTCCACTGAGGTCGACCCCCCGAATGAAGGGAAGAACTCCGGTGGCAGCCATTTTTGACGAACTGATGTCAGTTTTTCTGTCTATTTTGGTCCTAACAGAGGTAGGGAGTGGGTCCTTCTTCTTCCTTTTATTACAACCATGCCACACTCATGAGCAGTTTACCGCCATCTGCTGGCTATGTGCTGTATTGCGTCTGTGTGGGGATTAAAACCTTGCGTAAGAGCGCCCTCAAGCAGTCATATGTAAATACAACACTAAAATGAACACATTAACCGGTAGAACAAAACAGCACAGCAAGAAAGCAAAAATAAATAAATAAATAAAATAAACCCACAAACTAAATAATAAACATTATCTGCATTTGATTTGAATCATTCAATTATTTTTATTATTTTTTTTTTCAATCTTTTATTTTCATTTATTGACATAAAAATAAAAATACAGAACTAAATTGCTGCAAGCCACAATGAAAAAGGGGACAGAAAGAAGAAAAACTTATGTTGTCTGCCCCTTTTAACTAAAATAACATTAATACAAATGAAATAATCATATGATTCTTAAAGAAATTGAACAATATAGTTCTTGGACTTGTTGGCCGACACAATCTCAACCCATGAATTGAGAAAAAAAAAGAAAACAATTTACACAGAAAGAAGCATTAAGTTATAGATCTATATACATACATATATACACATACGACTACATACTAGTTGTTTTTTCCCTTTCATCCCCCCTTCCCCTCACACATTTATGTAACGGATCTATATCAGTTAATCATTTTATTTTTTTATCTCTTTTATACATTTGTTTAAGGGATTGAAATACTTTTTTCAGCCGCGTTGTTTATAGTGTCACAGTAATTCATTGGGAAATAAGGAAGTACAACAAAAGACAGTCAACATTCATCGGTATAATAATGAAAAAGAATGGGAATTTTCTGCCTTCGCTGTCAAAAAACAGAACAACACTCTGGTTTCACTTTAAACATCTTCTGTACGTTAACTCTATGTATTTTGTCATATTGTGTTCCTTGGTTCATGTAAAACAGGAAAAAAAGGTTATTCTTTATCTTTTGCTAATTTCACACGTTCCTCAGAACCTCAGAGCTGTGTACTCTGAGTGCTCACGTTTTTGTGCGTCCTCAAAATTAACTTTCACGTGAATTTTCTTTACTTTGCTGGTTATTTATATCTTTATTATGCGTTACCCTAAAAGTTTGTAGGACTTCCTTCCAAAAGATTATCAAGAAGCTACCAAAGTGATTTTAAAAGCATGTTTTATCTTCAAAGTAAAAGCCGTATCTTTAAAATGCAGAGGGGTTATACAGGGCTTCATCAAATGTAGTCTTAATTTGAAAATCCTCTAAACGGAAGTTCCGTACGTCCAACACCGTGGTGACATCACCCTTCTGTAGCCCTCTAGTTTAAAGGTCCAGTTTAGCTAGCTGACTGAAAAATACCAAATTTTTGGTTGAAATAATGGATAAAACTACAACGCGATACAACATACAGCTGTACATTTATGATTTATCGAGAGGAATGGCTCGCAGCCTCAGTCCCATTATGTTAGGTGAGTTAGAATCTATTTATTTAACCGTTTTAGCCGGTCGTGAGGAGAAATGGGATAAAAATAAAAATGAGAAACTAGAAGCTGTTCTTGTCACCGACAGCATTTGGTTTTATTTGTGTATTCATACGGTTTACTCGTTTTTATATGAAAAAATATTTTGGTGTCGGTTAATATTCTGACAGTTATATGTCCGTACCACGTTATATCACCAGAAACGTTTCAATGGGGTCAGAAATGGGGGCTGTAATCCTTTTCTGCTCGTTGCAGGTAAACAGCTGGATGGTATATGGTAAGTTAGACTTCCTGAATTATAAAAACACATTTCTGTGCATGAATCAGACCTAGCCCCAGAGCAGAAACAGCTAACATTAAAGAGCAAGTCAACCCCAAATCAACTTCTTTTATTTATTTATTTATTTATTTATTTACTTATTTATTTATTTATTTGCTGATAAACTATACAAATGAGTGTCCAATCGTGCTGACGACACGTGTAATCAGTAATTTGGCACTTTAGTGCATCTTGGTTAAAATTTAAACATTCTGTTGAAAACTGTCAGTGTTGTGCCATTGTCAGGTAAAAACTCTGCACTGCATTTGAATTTAAATCTGCCATCACTATTGGCTAAGAGGTACACAATGACATTAACTGGTACATTATGATGCAGTTGTGAGCTTGTTCGTGTGTATTTGTTAGTGGCTCCGCCCTCTCTGTCTGCTAAGCCACTGCATTTGATGCATTTTTCAAATATGAAGTGGGAGTGGAGTAAGTTTCTTGTACAGGGTGACTTGCACTTTAAAGAGCAAGTTCCCCCCTATGCTGTGTTGTCAAACTGATGAAGTTGTTGTTCCTTCTCGTCTAAATCTGGTAGATCTTTGTTAGAGAAAGGGCTACCCTTTTAGATTGACTCTGTAAACGTTTTTATTTGTTTAGAGGCAAACTACTAGCTACGTCTAACGTCACGTCACCCAGCTAATTTGGCTAAACATCGAAGGCTAACTTTTATTTGTTTGGGTCAGAAGTGTATGATGTTAACATTTTCACCTTAAGTGGGATAAAAGCTGTGGATGAATTTTAGATGCCCGAGTTGATAGGAGACTTATTAAACTATAGTTGTTAAACGTCAAGTAACAAATAGATGACCAGCAAGCAGACCAGTGTAAAATCCAAATATGTAAGTATTTAAATTTAAAACCGACCCTTAAAGGATGTAATCAATGGGTTCAGATTAGTTTCTGCTTGACCAATAATAATCGGGCAATGCATTTTTACATATTACTTAAGGTAAAAAAAAAAAAGGAATTTAAAGAGCAAGTCACCGCCTACAAGAAACTAACTCCACTCCCACTTCCTGTTTGGAAATGCAACAAATGCTGTTGCCTAGCGGACCGAGAGGGGGGAGCCGCTAACAAATACACACAAACACAGGCTCGCAATGACATTGTGACATCATATGATACCAGCTAACATTCTACGGTACCTCATAGCCAATAGTGATGGCAGATTTAAATTCAAATGCAGTGCAGAGTTTTTACCTGACAACGGCACAACACTGACAGTTTTAGGCAGAAAATTTTACTAAAGTGCAAAACTATTGACTACACGTGTCTGCAGCACGATTAGACACGCATTTATATAGTTTATCAGAAAAAAAGTTGATTTGGGGGTGACTTGGTCTTTAAGTAGCTCTTATTTGTTTGTTTGTTTGTTGTCACAGTGTTATTCTCTTAAACAAATATACAAATAAGTTGTGAAAATCTTATGAAGGAGCAAGTGAAATGTTAGATTGTTTTTTGCTACAACCAGAATTAAAAGTACTTGTAGTGATATTTAGCAAGGCAAGGCAGCTTTATTTATAGAACACATTACACAGAGGGTGTTCAGTGTGCTTTCCATTAGTAAGATTAGCAAGAACATGAAAATCAACATGACAGAAAATACAATTTTGCAGTCATTTACAGATGTTAAACTCCTGTATTCTGACTTGGACTGACCCAGGTGCTTTTCTTTCAGGCACACCGCCATAGTGGCATACGGCGATGAATTCTTCTTTGGAGGAGAGGGGATCTCCAGCTGTTCACCGGTGAGAGACAGAAAGCACTTCAGAAGGGAGTGCATTAAAGCAAAATGTCCTGTTCATGTAGAGTCGAAAGTCTGGATTTTAGCATCACAACAGAGGATTTTTTTGATATTATGGTGATGATGATCACCGTGGTAACAAACTGCTGAGCAGGTCATGAGCTTGAGTTTGGGTTTAATTCAATTCAAAGATACTTTATTAATCCCAGAGGGGAATTGATTGCTGTAGTAGCTCAGAATAATAATAATAATAATCAAGTCATCAAAGAGTTGTTGTATATTACAATGGCTGTTGGCAGGAAGGATCTCCAGTAGCGGTCAGTGTTGCAGCCAAACTGAAGAAGCCTCTGACTGAAGACACTCTTCCGTTTTCGGACAGTCTTGTGAAGAGAATGCTCAGGGTTGTCCATCATTTTCTTGATTCTCTGGAGAATCCTTCTTTGCATTATCTCCTCCAGTGGTTCCAAAACTGCCGAAACTCTGTCTGAGTCCTTGAAAGGGCTTGGAGTTCCTCCATCTTGTTGGCCAGTGATCTCACATTGCCCATTATGATCGATGGAAGAGATGGTTTGAATTTCCTCTTTCTCTGTCTCCGTTTTGCTCCCGCTCTGCACCCACGCTTCTTGCGTTTTAGCTCATTTGGGATTTGTGGCTTCAGTTGAGGTATTATTTCAGCCTTTCCAATGTTAATCAGCTGCTCCCGATTGTAAACCAGCTTGTTGCCATGGTTACACATCATAACAAATGCTCAAAAGGTGAAAAAAGCTAAAAAAAAAAAAAAAGCAGTAAAAATCCTCCAAGCTTCACAGCACCAGAAACAGAAAAGTAAAGTGTCCAAAAATAGTTTTTCTTGAGAAACTAGAAGAAAAAATGCCCAAGAAAAGGCAAAACTTGCATGTAGTCAACAGAGCTACTCCAACATGCAGCCACCCAGAGCAGCGCAGTTCCAGAAAAAAAAACTGTCTCTAAAAAGCACATCTCATGACCTGATTCTTCTCTGAATTTGACTCAAACTACTGTTTTTGTTAAAAACAGTTTTTTATGTTTCTTAGTGCCGCAGATTTCTAACTAATGACCTAATGCAATCATCTACTGGAGAATCTGTCTTTTATGTAGTTTTTGTCCAACATTTTTGTTTTTGAGATCTTTTATTTGTGTTGTTTGTCAGGGTGGGACGATGCTGGGGCCTCCGGACAACGTGGTGGAGCTGGGTGAGACTGAAGTGACAGAGGAGATCTTTATGGATTACCTCTCATCTCTTGGAGCAACCTCATACAGGTAGGTCCTCGAACTAGTTGTGGATTTTTTTAAATCTTTCAGAAAATGACCAACGTTTGAGCTAGCACACAGATCCAGACACCAGCTTTCCATGCTTTGTTCTTGGTTCAGAGGTGACAAGTATCGTCTGTTTGAGCACAACTGCAACACTTTCACCAACGAAGTGGCCCAGTTCCTTACCGGCAGGACTATACCCTCCTACATCACCGACCTGCCGTCTGAAGTCCTCTCCACGTGAGTCTGAAAGCAGTCTGCTCTTTATCGATCCGTCACAGCTCAACACCACATAAGGTGCTCCGCAGAACTAGCGTAGCATGCAGAAAGCATGGAGAACACCACAGGCTTAGATCTGATGACTGTGGAGAATGCTAAAGTCCCGTGACCTCATGGTCATGTTCTAGAAACCGGTTAGAGATGATCTGATCTTTGTGACCTGATGCGTTTTCCTGCTGGAAGTAGCATTTGTTCATCTTGTTCATCTCCAGACCGTTCGGCCAGATCCTGCGACCGATCCTCGACTCGATCCACATCGCCCCTCCAGGAGGGAACGTCATCAACGGAGGAAGGAACATCTGATCAGAACAAACGCTCTCCAGGGCGCTTTCACCTTAGTCAGTAAACAGGAAGTCTCATCTTCACGTCATTTTCATCCTTCCTTTCTCAAATAAGAAGCTAATTTAAAACAAAAAAATCTCTTGATTTAGAGGGAAATGAGCTCACCTGGTTGTTTAACATTTTCAAAGAGAATAATTCAAAGTGAACGGAGAGAGTGTATATGTTCAAGTGTTGAACGGAATAGATTTTTAAAAGTTATAAGAGGTATTTATAGTTAAACCATCGTTTATCCTGCATAGTTTTTGGCACATTGCCACCTTTTTTGTTTCTGACAAATCCCTTCCGATCGTCCTCTGCTGCTGACCCCCGTGGAGCTGATCTGAGTGCACATTTCAGTGTTTTCCCTAACAAATGCACGCTGATGGAAAACAAGAAGAGGAATGCTTGGTTGTTAGACATTTCGCATTTAAATGTCATTATTATATTATTTAGACACATTTGTGATTTGTAGCTCCTTGTTTTTGTACCTTCGATCTTTATTTGTATAATTTGTGTTTAATTGTTCGGAGTTTTGATCTGTTTGGTTCGGCAAACAGCAGGCGGGAAGGTTACAGTTCTTATTTTAGGCCGATGAAATGGTTGATCTGAGAGCTTTGCTCGGCTAGAGCACAGCTATTCCACAACAGGAAGAAACTGTGATACTCCATCTGTTGAATTGTTTTTTTGAATTCATGATCCACTTGGACAATAAAGGGAATAGAGACGGGAAGCAAAAGGTCACCCATTTTTAAAGAGCAAGTCACCCCCTACCAGAGTCTAACTCCACTCCCACTTCCTGTTTGAAAAATGCAACAAATGCTGTTGCCTAGCAGACCGAGAGGGCGGAGCCGCTAACAAATACACGCACACAGGCTCACAACGACATTGTGACATCATATGCTACCAGCTAATGCTCTAGGGTACCTCTTAGCCAATAACGATGGCAGATTTAAATTCAAATGCAGTGCAGAGTTTTTACCTGACAACGGCACACCACTGACACTAAAATGCACTAAAGTGCAAAACTATTGACTTCACGTGTCTGCAGCACGATTAGACAAGCATTTATATAGTTTATCAGAGAAAAAAGTAGATTTGGGGGTGACTTGCCCTTTAAAAACTAAAACAGGTGAGAAAAATTATTTTTCCCTCTTCGTTTATTTTTGAAAACAAAAACAAAAAAAGCCTTTTTCTAAACGTTTTGAACAGATGGTGTCTGTTTTTGGAGCTAAGTGGAAGTACACGCTTCTGCTGTGACAAATTCCATGGTTGGGATAAGCTGACGCATCATCCTATTTCTGTTTCAAATGCTACGTGTCGTTAGCACATCTGTACGCAGAGCGACACCCGTCATTCAACCGGCTGGAATCCTTTAACAACCACCAGAGTGTTTGAAATCCAAAACGCTTCTGTGCCTTCATCATTCTCTGCAGTCAAACCTAGTCAGAGCTAGGGCTAGGGTTAGCTAACACGCTATCAGAGTTTATTGTGACCATCAAATAGAAAGATTTGTATTGTTGGAATAGCCACGAGTTTAATTGTAGTCGGACGTCTCCAGCGATGTTTTGTGCAGGTGTAAAGCCAGCTAAATGTCCTGTAGTTTAACTACAGGTAAGAACACAACGGTGTCTACTTTCAGAGTTTTATCAGTATAAATAACAAGCTTTAGGGTTTACCTGCAAGTGTTTCCAGCTCAGACGTATCATAAACTGAGTGCAGAACAAACATCCTCTAATGGCTCAACCAGCGTTAGCGTTTTAGAGATGCACAACGAGCTGCTTCGCGCTGCACCTGGACAGGACCACTCCTAATGCACAGCTCAAGTCAGAAGTTCAGCTACACTCCTGTGAGTTTCTCTCCTTCACACAAGGTCAGAAACACACATCCGTTTGGTGAAATGACCTTTAGGGATTAGCGCCAAGTGTTTATTTTTGTAGACAAGCTTTATGCGTAAGTCTCGCTGATGTTTGACCACTCGACTTTGCAGAGTTGGTAGGGTTCATTTCAAACTTTATATGTTTTCAGTCACGGACGTAATTTTTTGGGGGGGGGTGACGGGACAGGGGGGACATGTCCCCCCCCACTTTTTCCAAAGTCAAGTTTTGACCCCTGCACTTTTTACCATCCAAAAACAATATTACGCTATATTAAATTGACACTGGCTGAGCTCTAGGACCAAGCAGAAAACAACCGTTTGTGTTGAAGTCTGTTTCCCATTAGAACATTCTGTAAAGATCCAGTACAAATCTCCTTCCTTAGACTGTGTGCGTGCGTGTGTGCGTGCATGTGTGAACTTCTGACTGCAGCTGTGCACTTTTCAAACATTTGTTTTTGGAAGGTCGCATATTGAGACTTGTTCCCCTCAAGCTTAAGTCTCAGGAGAGTCGTAGTGCTGTTGTGTCTACTAACCCGACCGCTGACATGTATTGCTGCACAGCTCACCCTTCGTTGCTTGCTGCTAGCCGTGATGTGAAACTGCAATTTGCAACATATTTATTGATACCATTTATCTGTTAAATGAACATGAATATATAGTTGTATTTTTGCACTTTAAGTTGTTTTGTGTTTTTTCCTTGTTGTAAATCTACCTGTGAATAAAATCCATTGTAATTGATGAAATCTGTGCTCTTGTTCCTGATAGCTGATAGATAGCCACCATTTTCAAAGCTAGCGAAATTAGCTGATTACACCATTTTTAAAAAATGGGTAAAACAAACGTCCGCCCTGTTTCAGTTCAGTCAGGTGTGTTTACCAGGCTCTAGGATTACTTCATTCTAAACTCAAATATACAGAAACAGATTTCACCATTAAAGTGTTCATCAACAAAGACGGCATATAAAAACTCACTTTCAGAATCCGTTATGGGTAGCAGGGAGCTGGTGAGAGGGGGAGGACACCCTGGATCTGTCTCCCGTCCATCACAGAGACACTAAAGACCCTTTTCCACTAGTACCTACCCAGCATGGCGCAGATCTAGAGCTTTTCCACTAGTAATGGGTACGGAACTGCTGGCCTTTTTTAGAACCAACTTCACTGTGGCTGAAGACGCAACGTCAGAAGATTGGCTGTGTCTCACTTCAGGTTCTGCATCCGTCGGCCGGTTACGTCACAGCGCCGCGACTAGGCCTGTCCCAATTCGAAGACTCCTTCAAATGCGGTCGACGAATCCGGCCGTCTTTTCGCCTGTATGAAGGATGGGTCCGGTGTATCCTTCAATGGTTTACATTTCCCAAGATGCCTTGCGGGCCGGACGGTAGAACTTTTAAAAACAATGGCGGACAGTGTATAAATGTCAGTATAAACTTGAAAACTGTTAGGTTAAGGGCTTTTTGTGATACATGAACGTTATTTTAGTTAGAAATGTTACAGTAAACGTGCTTGTATATCGGTCTCGGCTCGTATGTTCGGCCGCTCGGTGTCGTACTTCTCCCGCTACGTTTTCCCCTGATTTTAATAGGAGTTTGTATTTTAGGAACAAAAGAGAAAACCAGGGAGTTTATTAAGCTTAGGGCGAAGATGGACCACATGATCACTAGAGCAAAGTATTCGGCGGCTGTGGCATGGAGGTACAATAACATCTCATAATTTAAAAACTTTCGTTTGAGTTTAGTTTTTTCTGCGAAACCATGAAAGGAATAACCCGTTGTCCTCTTTTCTCTTCTTGTTTCTTTTCTTACATGTTTGTTAAGACTATTCTGGAGAAAATGGGCATCCAGGGGATGGTGACAGCGATGACCAGCTTCTGGAGCTGATCAGGGAGGACATGAGGCTGCAGAGGGAGGCAGAGCAGCAGAGGGCCCAGGAGAGAAGGGAGATTTTTGACAGGCTTGCTAGAAAAAATGGTTAATAAAGATTAAACATGTACATATAAAAGAAATATCTAAATAAAATCAGTTCTGTATTAAACTCTTGAATTTTATTTTTGTTTACAAATGAGAATTGTTTACTAGAGGGTATCCGCTGGGTCTTGAAAAGTCTTAAAAGGTGATAAATCGGTTTTGGTCAAATGAAGACCCTTAGAAAGTATTAAAAACTATTATCACATCTTTGCTCAGGCTCAGATAGTCGAAAGTATTTTCACTGATTTAGCTCTCCAACGGTCAAGGAAATGATTAAAGATCTAAATAAAACTTTGAGGTCCATCGTTTAAAGTTCCTTCTCCCTTCTGCTCAGCGGTTCCACGGTTGCTAGGCGACGGAACGTTCGCCGAGGGAGTGGCGGTAATTCATGAAGGCTAGGCCTGTCCAAATTCACAGCCGTTAAAATCCGGTCTACTCAGCCGACGGAGGACCCAGCCCACGTCGGCGGGGTGGGCTGGGTCCTTCGAAGGATGCAGACCCTGAATTGAGACACAGCCGTTCTTCTTCAACCTTGCTACCTGCAGCCTTTTCTGAGTCTCTTCTCCTCAGTCTGTCAAAAAGCCACAAATTGAGCAGAAGGTCGAGTTTGTATGTCACATATCACCTCACGCTTCTTCACCAAGCCGTGGGGCCGCCCTGCTGTGACAAGCCCAGCCACTAGCACCGTTTCTCAGCTGTAAAAGAAAACCAGGCGACCCGTGTAGAGTCAAGTCGTGCTGTGCAGGCTCCAATGGAAAACCAGACATTTACAATTGTCCACACACAACTCGGAACAACGAGGATCTCCACTTGGCCTAACACGCGTGCATTTTGTCTGAGGGAGGAATCCAGAGTGCCCAGAGAAAACCCACACATGCTAACGTCACAAAGAAAAACCACAACTGCTGTTCAAACCTGCAGATCTCGCTGCAAGGCAACAGTGCACCACATGCAGCCTCACAAGGAAAAACTACCGTAATTTTCGGACTATAGAGCGCACCTCAATATAAGCCGCACCGGGCTAAAAGCCGCAGATATCTACTGAATTGAAAACGTAGTTTAACTGAATTGATCAGTATCAAACAAAACAGAAAAGTTATTGATTAGTTTATTCATCGTCCTCCTGCGCACTGAAACCACTGAAGTCATCTTCTTCAGTGTCGGAGTTGAACAGCCTCAGAAGAGCTTCGTCACACACCTTTTCT